ACATTTTATTTTAGAGGAAAGGGCGTTGAAAAGCTGGCTCCCCGCCACCCCCAGCTGGGGCTCCAGCCGAGGCCAGTGTGAGCCGCCGGGGCCCCCGGCCGCTCCTCCCGGGCGGTGACAACAGGGCGGAGCCTGGGTCAGGGCTCACTCTGCGTCTTTTATTATTGACACCCACCCCCCAATGAGCCGCGGTGATTTGGGCACCGAAACACCCCGTATTCTCCTCCCTGTGCTGGTGCTAATTTAGAGGCACGGCGGCAGCAGCGATTCTGTTTCCAGAACCGACAGAAATGGCTGGAGGAGAGCTTTCCACTGCGCCCCGTGAAAGGACAAGCCGGCGAGGGCCGTGCCGCGCGGCGAGGGAGCAGGACGGGGCCCCGCGCTCCCCTCCCGGCCAGAGCGCGGCTCGGCCCGGGGACCACAGGTGCGGCGACCAGGCCCGCGCGCGAGCTCGCTGGCGCCCATGCGGCGACGCAGCGGCGCAAGCGGGACCTCCAGGCGGCTGCTCCGCGCCCCGACGCGGGAGGAGCAGTGAAGGCTCCAGGCGGAGAAGCGCCCCGGGAGCGGCTGCGCCCTGGAGACGAGCGAGAAACATCGCCAGTGTCCGGGCACCTCGTGAGCCTGCTGATCGCGGGGAGGAACGCGCCCCGCACCCCACTCAGGAGCGCGTCCAGTTGCGCAGGGGAGTTTGGGGATGTGTTAAAGCGCTGCGCTTGTGTTAGGGTTCTTGGTCCCCACACGGTAGTCCCCTCCCAACTCTAACACAAAAGTCACATTTAAATAGATCGAGCCAAGGCTTGGGGATGAGTGGTGTGTCCATTCAGGGGAAGAAGAAAGGTGGGTTTTTGTCCTGAATGGAGAAAAGGGGCCCCACGGATGGGAGGCGCCACGGACACACCGGCAAATCTCCCCAGGGGTCCCCACAGGCAGAGCCCCGCGGAGGAGGGGATGACAGTGCAACCCCGTCGGCGTGACCCTCCCCACGCTGCGGGCACCGGGCCGGGCCTCTCTCGGGGGCAGGACGGGGGAGCTCACCTGGCCCCCCCCCCCCCGGACTCGGCTCCCTGCGCGCCGCACTCCGCGCCCACCCGCGGCCGCGGCGACCTCCCGGCCGCGTTCCTGGCGGCGCGGTCCGGGCAAGTCCCCGAATTCTGGGTGAACCCAGGTCTGTGACCGGTGCCACCCGAGTGGGAGGGCACGGGGACTCTGCCGGGGAGCCGGCGGCCGCTCACCTGGACGCCCCCGGGAGCCCCGGTGGGCGGGTCCCGGGTCCGGCGGGCCAACCGCCGACCTTGTGCCGCCCGCGTCCTCGCAGCTGTCGCTCCGCTGGAGTGGCCGGAGCGCACGGTGCCGACGGTGCCGACAGTGGCGGCGGGTCCGGGCTCAGTCACTGCCGGGTGGGGCCAGCAGTCGCGTCCGCGAGCTGCTTCCAGCGCCGGCGGCTCCCCGGGCCGCGGCCCACGCACCCCACCAGCCGGGTGGAGAAAGACAGGCGCCCGTGCGCGGCCCTTCCCGGGACAGACTCCCTGGGAGGCGGGTCTGGGCTGCGCCCAAGGCGGCGCTGGGCGGGGACCCACGGCCCGCGGTGCCATGCGCCCCCGCAGCCGGCGGGGCTGACAACCCGCCCCCCCCACCCCCGCCCCCGCCGCGCCCCACGGCGGCAGCGAAGAGCTTCGCGAAGGGCCGGGCACTGCCTTGTGAGCGGCTCGGATCCGGGAGCCGCGGCGGGAGGCCTGTGCAGGCGGGCAGGTGGGAGGTGCGGGGCGGGCGATGTGGGTCAGGACCCCACGTGTACCCCTGTCACCCACGCGCCCCGCTTCGCTCCGCGTGGAGCTCCTGCTGGACAGCTGTCCTCCTTCAGCCCAGGCCAGAGCCTCCCACTCTTTCAAATGCAAAGGACTCGCGGGAGGAAAACCGGGCTTCCGCAGTCGCCCCTCAGCCCCCAGGACTGGGGAGCGGGCGCCGCCGGGGCAGAAGGGGCCCACGAGCAGCCAGCAACGCGCGCAGCTCGCACAGTGAAGGCTGAGATTCCCGATGCCAAAAAACGTGAAAAAGTGGTTTCGTAGGTTACCTTCCAGGGATTAAAAATCAACAGTAAACCACGCGATACACTAGTGAGCAACCTTTGGAAAAACTGAAGGAAATATGGCAACTCTAACTGCTAAAAAAAAATAATAGAAGGGTTGGAAGTAAAAACTCTACCAGGACATAAGCAAAAAGATGAAAACAAAAAATACATGCTATAGGTTAAGCCTACAATTCTGCCAGCTAAAAGACGCTCCACAGAAACAGGAAAGTTGGGGAAGAATTAAGCGGTAACACAGAGCACAGTCCACAGGATGACTGGGGGGCACCCCACACAGGCTGGGAGGTGGAGACCCACTCGGGGTGAAACCTGAAACCACCCCCACCTTTTAGAAGCAGCTTCCAGAGGACCTGAATTTGAACGTAGGCCGGTGAGACGGTGAGGTGGTTCTCCCCGCGGCACGGAAAGAGGACAGACCGGCCACAGGATGAACAGTGCTCAGAAAGACCGCAGTCCACGTTTAACGTGAACTGGAAGGTGGCACGGGCTCGGTCCTTTTTCATGTGGCCCTGGGAACGTAGGGAGAGATCACGACACTGGAAAACGAGTGAAGAGAGGTTCTCGGTGTTCGCTGGCCCACGTGGAGAGCAGCGACTACGGGGTGTAAGCCCTGCCTAGGGAGTTCCCGCGTTAGAAGAAACTGTCGGTAGAACTGGCGCAAGTCAGGGTTCTAGGCCAGAATGCACATGTTACCTTTGGAAATGGAACTGTACAGTTTACAAATGGCCCAATGAAAAAACAGAAACCGAGGGAAGGAAAGGGCAGGGTGGCTTTATCGTCGCCGCACTACTTACTCTCCCAACCGTATTATTTGAGTTACCAAGTTTTGTTCCTTCGCCTTGGCTTAACCTTGGATTGTCTCTACACGAGGTGAGGCGTGCTAAGTGAATCTACTGCAGTAATCATTTCGCAAACCCTCCACTGTTTACCTTCAACTTACACTGTGATGTATGTCAACTGTATCTCATTAAACTGGAAAAACATGAAGTTACCAAGGAAGAGGCGAGGTAAACAGTCACTTACCATAGGTAAAGTCAGTGGACGTGTAAGCTCAGTGAGACACAGGCACAAGGCACGACCGCCACCCCCAGGCACGGCGCTGGGCGGCTGGATGTGCAACAGCCACTCAGACAGGGAGAGGCGGGGCATCCTGCTTCCTGTTTAAACCCTTCTAAGCATTTTATTTTCTAACCATATGTGAAGCTGTCACGTGGATATTTTTTAAGGAAATCATTCAGATCTGTGCTCAGAAATGAGGACAGTGATGGGACACAGGGCCACTCACAACGGGGCCGCGCACGATTCCCTTCCCATCTGCCCGCCTCAGCCGTGTGACTGCGGGAACCTTCGAAACCGCCTTTAGGGCGATCGGGCGAGGGCCCCAAGCTCTGAGGAAAGGACACACAGCAACAGCCATACCGGTCTCTGCAAACCAGACACGCGGGGAGAGGCAACTCAGAGACGGGACCATCACGATGCAAACACCTTCACTCATCCAACCTTTCCCAGGGTGAGACTGAAAGTGCAAGCTAAGCACCTCCCGGGCTTTTATCAGCTGAACTTCCCCTCCGAGCCGTCTGCCCCTTGTGCGTCTGCCGACCACGCACCGCAGTCAGCGTTATAATCTTCTGTGCCTGCTGTTTACTTTTTACATGACCCTTTTGTGATCAAATCTGTTCTTTCATCATGCGTCTGTTTGAGTTTGTAAGCAACTCTCACTCCCAATTCAAAGGTTTAGTATTTAACTCAATTTTTTGTGGTTTTACTTCATTGTAATTCACACGAAATTGCTTTTGACTGCGGCATCAGGGAGGCATCTACCTGGCCACCCGGCCACCGCCCACGGCTCGCCCTGGTCTCCCCATGCGACCGCCTCACTTACTAACCAAACTCCTATAGCGGGATGTATGTTGAGGACATGTTGGGTTTTTTTTTAAGTGAACAATAACAAACTCAAAACTGATCATTTTTGTCTCCCTAATTTCTAACTTCAACCCTCGTGTTTTTATGTCTTAATGTTTTGATTCATTCACAGAATGATTTAGGAACTTTGTACATTCTAGACATAGTATGTTTAAGATATACAATGGTAAGTGAAAAAAAGAGTTGTTTCCCTCCTTAGTCTTAAAATATAAGGAAGATTAATTGTGGCAAGAGTGAACACCACTCTTTTTTGATAGTTTGAGTCCAGAGGATGATTTTCATGATTACCTCTGTGTATTATTCATTAATATTTAATTAATGTAAGACCGTTCACCTGAATACGACATGTAACAACGACAATGAAAAACGCGGCGGCGAAGGGCAGGGACAGTGTCCCGTCCTTTACTGTCCAGGGAATAGGGAAGCCGCACGGTCCAATGGCACATGCACGTCAGCCACTGGGTGCAGAGCTCGCGCTGCGCACACTGAGCCACGGCCATCACGTCTGGCGGTCAATTAAGAGGCGGAGTCACCATCCACTTCACGAAAACCACGCAGTATTCTTACCCTTCAGTGGCCCACTATCACCTTTGAAGCCCCTTTTAAGTAAAAATGAGACCAGTTTTTAACCAAAGTGTATCATATATCCTACTGCTTGTCAGAGGATCAAGAAACACTATCCTAAGGCTGAGCACTTAGACCAGAGCCGTGTCTAAGGCCCTGAAGAATACACTAGATGTAAGTAAGACACTTAGAATGCTTTAATCTGTCCAGTTAACACCATTTGTATCAGGAACTGCAATGCTGTAACTTTCAGCATTTCGCGTAACTAGTCAGGAAGGACTTTTCTAAGGCTGGGAGTAAGAACAGAATGCAGGAGATATGTGAGTATCGGGTTTCACACTTCCGTTAACAACTCAAAATCAAAACTGTCTTCTTCTGTTACTGAAACCGCACCGCAGACGTGAAGGTTGTGAAGGTTGTTTGAGCTTTAATCCCATGACTCTTCGTCTACAGGGTTAGGAACTTGTGAAGAGGAAAACCCTGCTGTGTTCAAAGTGCTCTTGCCCTGGTAACTCTTCGAGAAAAAGAAAAAAGAAACACTTAACTGTACGGCAGCTTGCACTTACCCGCCCCCTGCACTTACCCGCCCCCCCGCACTTACCCGCCCCCCCCCCGCACCGACAGCAGGCACGCGCTGCCCCCCCAGCCTCCCAGTGCCGCCAGAGCACCCCCGCCCACCAGCCACCCACGGACAGGCCCAGGGCACCTGCGGGGTCTGCCTTGCACCAGATGTGCCAAGAAACGAGCTTTAAACCAGAGTCCCGGCACGCGGAGGAGCCCGGAGCTCTGCGTGTGGTGCGTCCGTGCAGAGTCAGCGGCCCGGGCGGGAGGGCGAGCGGGTGCTGCTCCTGTCGCCCCGGAACCGGCACACCAGCAGAGACGCACAGCCCGCCGCTCCCGTGTTTCACGTGGGGCGGCAGTGCCGTCAGAATGCCCGAGGCGGGGAATCCCCACCGAAAGCTCACCAGTTGCCGCAGGGACTTTAAACGGGCGGCACGTCTGGGAAAGGAGGGCGTGTCGGCTACAACCTCCACATTCCCCCCTCGCCTCTAAGAGCACAGACGTCTGCGTGCAGAGAGCAGGGCGACCTCTGGGAGCAGAAGTAAAGGCCCAGACAAATGCCGACGGTTCTTGTTCCTTCGCAATTCCAGGCACATTCCCGAGGAAAGGCCAGAAGCCACGGTCTGAGCTGTCGCCTCCACCCACCTTCCTGGTGTCCACGGACGCGAACACGCCTCCCCGCGGGCTCCCGCTGAAGCCGGGCGCACAGGCGCTGTAGGCGATCTCCTCCAGCCACGCTGGCACGTCCTGCTGGGCCTTTGGGACAGACGGACCGCATGCACAGCACGCCCCCGGCCTCGCCGACTGCAACGGCCCGCGCTTCCGGACCGGACGTCGGTATGGGACGCCTCCCTCCCAGGTGAGCACACCCGCCACTCGGCTGCCACTTCCCCACTTACGTCGGACAGCACTTTCACCAGCGGCTGAGCCAAAAGCCGGTCGGATTCAGGATCGAAGAAGGAGAGCGCCCTGCCAGTGTTGCCGCAGCGGCCGGTGCGCCCGATGCGGTGCACGTACTCGTCGATGGTCGAAGGCAGGTCAAAGTTGATGACATGCTGGACGTTTTCGATGTCCAGCCCCCTGGCAGCCACTGACGTGGCAACAAGAACCGGGCACTTCCCGCAGCGGAAGTCTCCAAGGGCCTGCTCCCGCTCTCTCTGCTCCCGGTCCCTGCGGGGCAAGGGCTCGGGGTCAGGGCGGCTCATAACAAGGCTGGAAGGAGAGCCTTTCGAGTTCGACGCGTGCAGGTTTTTAATGCTAGAAAAAACAGCTACACTGAACATTAACATACACTTCTTACACACCACATATTCTATTGATTCCCTTCGAGCCATCGTTTTATTTATTCTCGTAACACTCCGAGGCTGGGACAGCTGTCCCCGTCCGCAGGCAAGGTGACAGCTAACGCACAGGGCCCACCTGTAAGCTCAAGTGCGGTAAGTGTCACGTCTCACCCATTAACAATCTCTCGTGATGATCTTTCTGGTTTTGAAAAATACAACTATTTGATTAGAATGCTTTCTTCAAAGTACAGATTTTTTAAAAAGCTATCATCTCCGAATTCTACATATTCACTGATTACTATTTCATCTCTACATAGTAAAATACCAATAAAGTTGTGTTAACATGATGTTTTTAAGCACTCCAATTAGAAAAAATGTCGGCCATCACACAGATTTGACTCAGCATAGGAAAAACTCAGGCCCGAGGACCAGAGAACAGGAAGTGAGATCTTCTGAGAAGTCAACCCTCCTCCTGCAGAGGAGTCTCAGACCTTCAACTCGCCCCTCCTGGAAAATGACAATGAAGACGAAGAGTTCAGACGAGGCAACATTAGGCTGCTGCACTGAATTTACTCCCTATTCAATAGCATTCTCAGAATTCCTGGACTCTGTGAATTCTGAGTTGTAAGCCTAGGATTATATAGTCGCGTGTACTCACGTGTCTGAGCAAATGGCAAGTAGAAGTCACCTCTCTACTAGAACACACTGTGAATCTACTCACCCATGGATACTTGTCGTTGATATTTTTTCTTGACAAAGAAAAGTGGCAATAAAATCTGCTTTTTTCTTAGTTTCGACGAAGACCATGGTTCTTTCATTGCCTACAAGACAATGAAACAACAATTAACATCCAAACTGCAACCTGAGACGTGGGAGAAACGGCGGCGGGGGGCAGCGAGCAGGACACCGCCTTCACTCCCTGTGCCGGGACCGGGCCTGGGACCGGGCCTGGGGGGTCTGCGGGACTCACACTTCACTTCCCTCAGGGGTGAGTGTCAACCCCCGAGGAAAGGAGTTTTCTTACTTGCGGGACGAAAACATTGGCCAGCCCTTTGCCCTGGCCGGGCCCCCAGCAGGACGAAGAGACTTGGGAAAGCTAAGTGACGCCCACCCGGCTCTCTCTGTAGCTCCAGATCTGGCCCAGGGCCTTGGGCTCCCCATCCGTAAACAAACGTCTTTGCTCTCTCCCCTCAGAGCTAACCGGTCGCTCATTCCAACTCGACTGCCCACGGTGTCTGTGGAACAGCAGCCGACCCAGGGCTGGCACGCTCTGGGGTGCTTCATGTTCCAGCTTCGTCTTAATTTGAACCTCTTTATGCTCGAAGTACCTCACAGCGATAGATAGAGTGAAAACTAATGACAGCTCTCTCCCAGAGTCCGTCTCAATGCGTCAAAGGTTATTTACTTGCTAACTTAAAAGTATTTAACCAGTAGAAAGCCAAGCCTGAGCCAGCGACTTTTCCACACAAGGCACCTCCCTGTAAGACATTCGAAAGATGGCAGCTACAGCCTCGGTGGAGGGCAGGCCGAGTCACCGCTCCCAGCCCACACCCCCCCGCCCCCCGCTCCCCGCTCCCTATCATCTGGCTTCTGGCTCCATTCACTCAACAGACCTGCAGAGCCTGTCGCTGTCCAGGGCCGTGAGCGCAGCGACGGTGCCCCGCCCCCACTCCCACTGCGGGTACACAGCTAAGCAGCAAAGATGGCATGAGGCGTCCTGCGAAGGGAAACCTCAGCAGGATGAAGGGCCCCAGGAGGGTTGCCTTAGGCTGTGCCTTCTCTAGTCAGATGGCATCTGAGCAGGGGCACGACTGAAATAAGACAGTGCGTTACTCAGACACCTGGGTGAAGACCACGGATGAGGGCCGAGGCATGGGCGTTCTAGATGGGCTCGGAAAAAACAGAAAATGGCCCCCGCGCGGCTCCTCCGTTCCGGGGGGGAGGGAAGAGTGGAAACCAAGGGCCAAGGCGGCGGTGAGGCGGCAGCGGGCCCACAGAGGAGACAGCGGCGAGCAGTGTGGCTGAAGCAGGGCGGGCAGGGACGGATGGAGGAGAGACCAGACCGAGACTAACAGAGGCCACTTCATGCCTGGCCCCGAAGGCCACTGAACCACCTTTTCCTCCGAGCACAGAAGCCACTGGGCTTTCCCCAAAGAAGCAGTAAGAGCTGATCTTTGTTTCAACGGAGCAGCGTGTGGATTCAGTATGTATTTTGATGGCAGAGCCAAGATCAGATGTGTAGTTAGAGAGAGAAATCAAGGTGTGTCTGAGCAGCGAGAAGAGTGGAACTAAGACTGGAGGTCAGCGATGACGTTCGACAACCAACAATCAAAGTGCAACGGCTTCCTGCAGCTCCAAGGGAAGTCTGAAGACACCGTCGTTTTATTCCTGAGAGTCATGATTTTATATTTCATCAGAAACTGTCTTTCAGCAGTTCTGGAAGCCACCTGGCAAGGCGCTCAAGGCCACAGCCGGCTCACCTGGGAGCTGGGGGCACAGCCCCCCACTGGCGCTGTGTTTATCCTCGCTCCAGCGGCAGCGACTGCAAGGCTGCTGTCCCAGTGGGACCCTTGCGCGGTCTCTGTAAGCGGGACAGTTGCCTGTTCTGTTGGCTGAGAAATCATACAGGCTCTGTTCTGTTAGTCTTATCGATTAGTCCGCTGTGAGTTAAAATGGATTAAGGATCTAAAAAGAGCTCCAGCTTTGACAGTTGGATCGTAACGTTCTGTATTTGTGTGCTCGTGCTTGGCCTGTGGCTCATGCGGTTAGACTGAGGCTGTGACCGCTTACGTGCGATTCACAGCAGCCTTCGTCTGCTGTCACGTGTGATCGCTGTGTTGACACCCTACGGGGAGTGTGAACGATTAAATTATAAAGTCTCTTAATTAAAGGGGCTCCATTCTGATTAGTTTATAAATATAATGGAGAAATAACTTACTGAGATAGATACTTCTAAAATTCCCAGGAAACTAATACTTTAACTGTATTAAAGTTATTTTTAAAATTACTCCTACAGGAACTAAATTAGAAACATTTAAGGATTCCAAATTCACATAATTATGTTTTTTTAATCCTTCCCCAAGGATACATTTACTGATTTGAGAGACAGAGAGACACACATCGATCGGTTACCTCCCCCATGAGCCCAAACTGGAGACTGAACTCCCAACCTAGGCATGTGCTCTGACCGGGAATCAAACCCGCGACCTTTCGGTGCATGAGATGAAGCTCCAACCAACCAAGCCACACCTGCCAGGGCCCAAGTTCACATAATTAATGAGATCTTTGATAAACAAGACTAATTTAATAACTTTGGTTTAAAAAACACCTATGTCTTTTCTCCAGTTTATCAAGTGTTAAGTGCACTACAAACATGTACCTCATTTTACTTGGGTTTTTCTTGACATGTAGAGGTACGCCAGTCAATAAACTCACATCCTCCATGACGCTTCAGACTAGGAAAACATTACTCTGCTCAACTAAATGTACTCGTTATTCAAGAGTGTGCCCTTCAGGGTGCCATCTCCATCATTTCCAAGGCCTTTATTTAGCTTCGACGACGTGGAGCGCGCGAGTGGGCGGGCGAGCGCGGAACACAGGACAGGACCCTGCAGCGTCAGTGACCGAGCACAGGCCTCTGCTCTTCGCTTCCTGTTTTCACATCCTGCCGAGGGGCGGAGCCTGTGAGTCACATCCTGAGAAGTTCACTTCTGCCGCTTGAACCGCGTGAAAGGAGCGTGCAGCGGAGAAGGTTGCGCGGAAAGCTCACACATCTCGGTCGGGAGCCACAGCGGCATGTGTGACATCTCTCCATTGTCCGTCCTGCCTCCGGGTTTCTCTATGAAATGCAAGTCACGGTGCTTCCAAGTTACATTTGGCCTAAGTGGCTGAGATTATACTGAGATTAACAGTGACAAGAAATAAAAATGCTTTTGTTTTTCAAGGAAAAACCCCCACAAAAACAGCAGCTTTCCCTAGGTTGGCGCCTCTCAGCACTTGGGTCCGTGGCCTCTCAGAAGTCTTCCGGGAACATCACCGATTCCAAAGGGCTTTGGCGGCCTGGGTCATGACTGCTGATGCTCGCCATGTTACACACGAAAACCCAGACCCTGCAGAGCGCGTCAGAACGTACTGCACTGGGAACGAATAAGCCTTCGTGTACGTGAGGAAACTGCCGCCTCCCCGAGCCACTGAGGGGACCCATCAGAGGCGCCCGCCGCTCTGGGGGCAGGAGAGCACAGGGCGGGGGGCCGCGCCTGGAGCGGGACTTGCCTGGGGGAGGCTGGTCATATGTGGGTCTAAAGAGCAGCTGTGAAATGTGCTGAAAGTTTGGCAAAATGCAATCATTCTAGATGGAACTGCGTCTTCATTTGCTGTTTAATGCCTGTATTTACAGTAAGAAAGGCTAGTCTTTGGTGTTTTGTGTGTGATCAGCCCATGTTGCACAGGGTGTGTTTGTCTTTGACTATTGAAAGGGAAGAGCCAAGGTCCCGCCTGGGGAAAGAGCCGTCACTCTTCGCAGCCACGTGTCCCCCCCCCCATTCCTTTTTCAGTGCTCCCCTGGCACTGAGATGGGGACACGGATGGCTTCTCAAGCACCCGTCACCCTGCACTAATCGAGTGTTCAGCTTGCCCCTGAAGACCTCCTGATTTTTTGCCTTTTTTAGATCAGAACACACTTTTTAAAAAAAAATCCACCGAAACTACTTTTGAGGTTTTCCAACATTATTAATACATTTCAAAAGTGCACACTTCAGGGAAACACCTGGAGGTGTGTGAGTTTCCTCGCTGTCCACGGCGCGTCATTCTCTCTGGGAGGAGCAGAGTCCCCGGTTAGGCCTCGGCCCCACCCGGCGCAGCACGGAGCTGCTGCGGGCTCTGCACCCGCCCACCCGCCCCCTCCGCCCCCCTGGTTTCTCAGGGGCCCCGCTCAGTCCACCGTGGACCTGTCCAGCCAACATGCTGTACTCCTCAAACTAACATGAGATAAAGCTGAACGTCAACTGTAACTGACGGAAACCCAGAGTGTCACAGGAGGCCTTTATTCACGGAAAATGAAAGTTTCACAGTAAAAAAAAAAAGCAGCACCTACCCAAACAATCATGAAATGATTCTGCGTAGTTTTCACGAATTCATCAGGCCTGAAGGCGCCTTGCCCAACAAACAGCACTGCTGCCAGTCATAACGCCCCTCACTGCATAAAATGTTGGTTCGGTCACAGCCCTGCTCCTTTCACAATCTGGGTCCTGGCCCTGCCGGGCCCAGCGGGGACGCGCCGCGGACACGCCACGCAGCCCGCACTCAGCAGCGCCCTCCCGGGCCGCACGCGCGCATCTGCGCAGCGCGGCCCGCCCCGCCCCTCGGGGGCCCCGGAGGGGCGCACTCCGCACTGCGGCTCTGCCAGCAGGCCCATCGCCCTGTAGCGATGTGTCTGTCGCTTGGGGACGAGGACCTTATCAGCTCTATTTTGCATATCGCAGAAGCCACCAAATTCCCTTATTGGGAGCATTGTTCCCATTAAACCATCATTAAATCCTCCACGCTTAACAATGGTCAGCAATACACTAACCACAAGCATCACGTCTCTGTCAGCTCTAGCCTGTTTCTTTTGTGGCTTGCCTGACGCTGCACTGTGAGCTTCGGAGCGTGTCTCTTCAACCCTGAGCTCGCGGGGAAGGGCGGGGCGGCTGCAGCGAGCCTCTGCGTGGCAGAGCCAGGGCCATGGGGCCGAGGCCCCAAGCGGACGCTGCTCCGACAGCTCCAGGTCCTCTCCCTGGGCTGAGCAGGGTTTCCCGGCGGGTTCCGGCAGCCGGTGGAGTCATGAGTGTGGACGGCTAATAGGTCCATGAAGTAAGAGTGACATAAAAAATTTGGGGACCTTTATAAGCGAGGCGTTCACTCACATTTCTAGGTACTGCAGGTAAACTATGGTAGAGAGCTTCTTAGACTTAGTCTCTGTCCTTCAGATGGCAAATAAGGAAGCCTGTAAAAGTTTAATCTTAGATTTCTAATGAAAACATCCAGATAGAAGTTAACTTTAGTAGTTGTTCCATAACGTGCCACTGCAGATTTGCAAAGCAAACTCAAGGAGGCCTATATTGTTAATGAACAGTCTTGCTGCACTTACGCGAATCAGGCAAATGTGATGAGACCAGCAGCTTCGCAGTGACGGAGGACCATCTTGGAGGCCACCGTGACCATGGGGGGCGGGGGCGGGGGGTGGGGACTGCCCGGGGAAACCGTGCGACATGTCGATGTGTAGGTGTTAACCAGTTTCACATCTGCCTGTGAGTTCATTTTGGCCTTCCTGACGTATGTTCCTCAAATTCTCCTAGGGACTGGCTGTAACAGCTTACTAGTTTTCTGGGTAATTAATCTCAAAATTTTAAATTAAAATCATGAAAAAGGCAGCTGGTTATATACTGCTATGAAATAATGAAAACTGAATTTTAAAGGTAGAAGGGGAAAGCAGATTTTAAGTTAAAAATAGAAAGGACAAATTATATGAACAAAAACATGTGAAATCTGAGGGTATGTTGGATGGATATTCCATGCAAAGTGAAAAAATGAAAGCAACCAGACACTGACCCAGGAAGCACCTGCCCGCGTGATGGATACCGAGGCACAGCACTTGCACGCCAGCCTCACAGCGTTCTTTCTCAAAGGCATCCCGGCCCTTCGAAAACTCTCTCCATTAAGAGTACCCTCAAATTGTATTCCGCTACCCATGTACAGAAACGTTAGGGTGATTAACTGGAAACGTGCTCTGATTTCGACACACCCGGCCGACCTCGCGGCGCCCGGCGCTTCCACGGCCGCGCGGGGGCCCGGCCGCTGTTCTGAGAAGGGTCTGGGCGAACACGGGTGAAGCAATGAGAACACTGTGCGGTTTGCTTTATGGGCCACAGTGCGTGTCAGGAAATGTCACGAAGGAAACCAAATAAAATTTCTCAAACACAGGATGAGTGAGTATTCGGTCTTACAAGTTTTTTTATATAAAGACTAGAAACCTTTAAAAAGTGTTTCCTAAATCCACTTCTTTCTTTCGCCTGTTTTTGGACACTAGATGGTTTCCTGCCGTCTCATCTCCCGTTCCCCACCCGTGAGACTGACGCCCGGACGGACACAGGGCCGCTGCCGCGGAGGCCGGAGGCGGGGGCAGCCTGTCTCGTGCCCGCGCCGGGGAGGCAGCACAGAGGCCCAGCACGGCCCAGGCACAGGCTCTGGCTGCCTCAATCAGGCGAAGAGATACATGGCTTTCCACAAAAACTGGTTTTGTTGGGGAGGGGACTAGATCTGTCACTGGTGTTGTGAATAAGCAGAACTGGACCCGTGTGCCCCCCCCCCCTGAAATGCCCTGACCCAGGGGTACGGGAGGCCTCCGAACGCCAGAGCCGGGAACCAAACACAGGGCAGCAGCTCACCCTCAGTGGGACAGAGTTCGACATCAAGACACATTACTAAGCCTTTCTATTGTCTAAGACAGAACCAAAAAATGTCCTGTGGAAACAGTTTTCAGTAAAATACTCTTAAGCAAAGTCTCAAGTCCTTCCCTTTTCTAAACTTTATGAAGGAAAAAGGACTATACTACTATATAATTGTAAATGATGTGTGATTCAGAGAAAGCATAACCATAAAAACCCCTATAAAAACAGCTTTAGGAACAAAGGAAATGAGAAAAAACTTACTAAAACTCACACCAAACAATTCTTACAGTAATTTTTGAAAATCAAAAGCATGAGGAGAAACGACCACATCGGCGAGAGGTACCTGTGTCTCGCAGAACGTCGACAAGCTTCTCCCTCTTCGCGTACTGGCCGACCTGCAGGACACTCTGCTGGACGTCCGTGCAGGCTCCACCCACTTGTCCGACAGCAACAAACAAGTAGTTCGGCTTCAAAAACTCCCCGGCCAACCTCAAAAGACAAAGGTTATTCCTTAACTTATCCTCTTCCATTAACACCTGGAACATCTGCTGAAATCCTGCAAGTGTGACTGCAATAGTAATCAGATGGTAACATCTACCATGTGATAAGGTGAACACCTGTATCAGCCAAGTACTACTTTCAAAGATCAATATAAAATGTTAAGGTATCTGCAAAATACCTAACTGCTAGTGAAAAAGTCTGTGTCAAATAATGGATATGGCAGTACTGGCCAGATGCACTGACCATGCACAACGGCACACAACGTGCGTGTAACAGTAATAAACAGAATGCACAACCGTATACAATGGGTATAGCAACAGAGAGTATGCGCAACCATAGAAAAGGTGCAATGAACAACGATAAAAACTATGTTAGACAATGTACTATACATACACACACCAAAAACAGGAGTTTGCTAAACGAAAATGGACCTCAGGCCACAACAAGCAGGAATTTCTGTGAGAGACCAAAGCGTGCGTTTGTGGACGCTGTTCTGTCCTGCACTCACGGCCTTCACCATGTTAAGTGCCGCTGGTTAAATGACTCAAATTCGCACGAACTATTAGGAGAAACCAGACCTCAGGTCAGGGCCTCTCATGCCACAGCGCACAGAGAAAATCGTATTTGTTGAGCAAAACCGGGCGGGGTCGGGGAGACAAGATGTGAAGGGCTCAGAGGCGAGGCCAGGACAGACAGTGGGCATTCGCCCCCGTGGCCGGGGTGTCGGCATCTTGACACATTCAAGGTCAGCCAGGGGCTTGGGGGACGGAGAAGGGGACCTGCCCGTTTCAGCGCAGAGGAGGAGGACTAAAGGGCAGGTCCCACTCTACCCCGGGCTTCCCCCCTCCTGTGCCGCTGCCCCTTGCTTTCCAGCCGCTGCCGAGAGCTCCGTGCACACAGTGCGCAGCCTCGGCACACCCGGGACCTTCAGCGATCGCTGCTGGCGCTGCGTGCCCCTCGCCCGTGCTCCCCATCCCCCGCCCCCGGAAAAGTCTCCCTTTCTATCTGCTCCTGCCAGAGTTGAGTCCCTCCCACCCAGGCACGGGCCCCAAAATCGCTTGTGACTCTTGACCGTGCGCCACACCTTGCCCTCCCCAGGCACCTCGCAAGGCTTCGCAGCCGCACACGCCGTGCAAGGCGCCGGGAGGACAGAGGTGCTGTGACGGTCTTTGCCTCTGAGGGGCTCGCATCAGGAGGATAAACCGTTACACAAGAATGATTGCTACTCCTTTTAAAATACATAATAGCTATGTGTTCTAATTATACACTGAATATTTTAATATTTATTTTAATAATCTAGTGTTACAACAGTTAGCGTCTGCTGAACACTTACAATATTCCAATAAGTGTGCAAAGTGTTTTAAATAGTTTAAAATTATGTCTATTTGGAAGACCCTCCAAGTTTGAAGCCTGATCTGAGGGAGCAGCGAGTCAGCGTGTGGACTGGCGGGGGGCAGGGGGCGCCCCACGCAGAGGGCGGGCGGAGAAGTGCCAACAGCGAGCAGGGACAGAGGTCGCCTGGCCCGGCCGACGGGGAGTCGTGTGTTCTGTAAGCCCTCGCCTGAGGACGTGTTTATTGATTCTCGGTGGTGGCACACATGGCCATTTGGGCTGGTGGTAACCCAGATACTGTCCTATTTCAGGGTGAGTCGGAAAACAGATGGGCAGACAGCATGTCACTTGCTCGTTAGGTGGGAAATTGATAAGAGTGGTTCCCACAGATGATGGAGGAAATGGAGGTATCCTTAAGATGCCGTGTAAGTATACGAAACTCTCAGTTTATGTGTCACTAAGAAACAAACTGTGCCCGCTGACCGAATGCTTTCTTAGGACTTAGCTGTTTCTCCAACAAAAGGCTCTTTTTAACCTTACACACAAACTTTTAAAATCCTGGTAAGTGAACAGACTGATGACCTGCTCCACTCTCTGAGGCGTGGCGTGTACTGACCCCACGTGGCTTCCTGTTGGACCAGCGGGCCACCTCACAGCAAGGTGGCCCGCAGGACGCACCGGGCCACCGCCCCCAGAAGCTGCCCCCCGACCCCGACAGAAACGGGCACGTCCGCTGGGGAAACAGCCCGCGGGCCAGCTTGGAATGAGTCTCTGTGAGGCTGGCCCGTCCTTGGGCAGGGTACAGGGGCCCCGGGGCGCACGTGGGCGTGGGCGTGGCCCCGGCCCCACATCCGCACTTCGCGCCCCGCAGTGCCCGGTTCCGCGGGTCAGGCGGCCTGTGCACCCAGGTAGGGAACAGTGCCGTGGCTGACGGCAGCGGGGGTCTCGGGAACCACACGCGCCCGCTGCAGCCCGTGCTCCTCGGCCCCGTGGCCAGGGGCCCAGCGGGCAGTGAGACACACCACAGGGACGCGGCCTCTGACCCCAGAGTCCGGCAGCCTGCATGTGCCACCGCTGGCATGCCAGCCTCCTACCAAAGGCCCCGTGCCCCCAAGTGCTCTCATTCCGATGGGAAGAAAAAGTGCAACTACAAAAACAACTTCACTTAGTTAAGTGCTTATCGAACCCTAGCTGGGTGCCGAGCTGGAACGCACACATACACGTTTAATAAAACGCACTGCTGATTCACAGCTGGGAACAAAGGTAGGAAACACGGAAAAATGTGGTGCACTTTTTAGGAATACACCCGCTTTTCAAACTATCTTAAAATCTTAAGTATCAGGGAAGCAGGATGCCCGCATCGCTTCTGCTCCCATGAAAGTGTCGTGCTCTGCAACTGTCTTTGAGAGGGAAAGGCTACCTCTGAATTTCTTCTGGGAAAGTCGCGCTGAACATGAGGGTCTGGCGCTGCTCCTTCGATGGCATTCCTGGGCAGGAAATTAATTTCTTCATTTCTGGCCCAAAACCCATATCCAGCATGCGGTCGGCTTCATCCAAAACTAAGTATTTGACTTGTCTAAGGCCAATCTTTAAGGATATTTTCAAAGATTAGAGAATACACAATGGTTAACATTAAACTAAAATATTCTTCACAATTCCAACTATTAATACAGTGTTAAGGATGAAAATTAGAAATCGGTGCATAAAATGAGAACTGTTGTGCCCAGATAACACTATTACTGTTTATTTCAGTTCTCCATTTTCTCTAATGTTGTAAAACATTTTATACGTTCAGACTAAAAGAAACGGAAACATCTGGAGCAATACTGCACAACAGACTGTAATTACGTAAACATTCAGTATCTTTGCCACCTCGTCTACCAGCCACACCCCGTGAGCTCTCAAGCCCTCGCACCGTGGCTGACCTGCCGGAAGGGCCGACTCTTCGACTGCCGGCCGGTTTTAAAGTCAGAGAGCCACGTGGGGCCAGCGAGTGCTGTCCGCACGGCACAGGTCTCGGCTGTGCTATCTGAGCAGGTCAGGCTCTTTAAGAAACAAGAACTCCTAAGTGACCGACAACTGCAGACGTCTTATAAAACGCCCGTTTTTTCTAACTCCTCGAAACCCATGATAAAGTCTCCATTCTCTCGTCTCTCGGAAACAGCTGGGACACGCCTCTCCCCGTGACCAGTTTCTGCTATGAAAAGCAGCGCGCTTTCGCAAAAAGGAAATGAGTGACTTTGGTACTAGCACAGAAAATGTTTAGTGGGGATTTCTCTTGGTAAGCATTCTAAGAAAAGTGTGTTGATGCACAAAGAGCATATTTTGATAACCCCTTTATAGAAGAGCTAAAAAATAAATAAATGAAAAGCAAATCACGTTCATAAAAGTGAATTTAACGTGCTGATTTGAAGTCTTAGAAAATTAACAAGTGAGTGCTAAGGTCACTCCCACACTTAAACAGGAGACAAAATTACTGCCGTCGAAGGCTTTCTTCTGGAGCGGGGCAGCGGGAAGATTCCATCAATGCAGATATGAAACCGTGCAAGAGCACTTCCTGCCCGCTTCTCCCACTGCAGCAGGGAGAGGCTATGAATTCTAAAATCACACCCGGAGTCTAATGCCAGCCCCTCTGCTTATTAGAGCTAACTGGGGGATTTTTTAAAAATAAATTACACTATCACACCGAGTTTGTTTTCCCAAGTATGAAACAGAAGCTCCTATGTATCTCCTGCTGAATGATCGTAAGAACTATGTAAGAACACGTTCCGAGACGCGAGGGAGGCCTGCCACACCGACGGCTGCAACGGCGCTCGGAGAGACGCCCCGTCCCTGCACCCGGTTCCCATTCCCCACACAGAGAGACCGACCCCGCAGCTCCACCCACACGCCACCGGGGCCCACCTTTTCTTTGCTGATGATGTCCATCAGCCGCCCGGGGGTGGCGCACAGCACGTTACAGCCCTGCACGATCTGCCGGACCGAGTGGCCGAACTGCGTGCCCCCGTAGACGACAACAGCTCTTACACAAGTCCTGTGGACAAGAGAAATAAATGTCATTTTCTAGTTATTTGAAAATTACACATTTGTTTCTAACACGATGTAAAACAAAATCCATAAAGGAAAAACTACTACATGCAACAATCTTTAAATAAATTCTTCCCAAGAAGTTGTTGACAAACAAATGAAAAACTATGAAGACGTATTTTGTTACCTATCTGATAAAGGGCTCTTCAAAAACAAGGATGAACACTACGACCCCCACACAAAAATAGGATAAAAACATGGACAAATGGCTCATTAAAAATACAAATGGCTTTTAAACATTTTTTTAAGCTCAACATCATTTTGAAGAGGAAAAGAGACGGGCCGGGCTGGCCCAACGTCTCCCCACAGGCGCGGCAGTGCCGCCGGGGCTGGCGCTCAGGAGGTCGCGGACGGCACCCCACACGCGGAGCCTCTCCGCCACCTTCCACCCGACGGCCGTCCCGGCACAGCCCCAGGCGGGCACCTGCCCTTCGGCTCTGTCCCCACAATGGGCAAAGAACAAGAGTCATTGCCAACGCTATTTTTAGTATCAAAAGACTGAAAACTGAATGTCTAACAAAGATGACAAAATTAGTTTCATTTCAAATGAACTGATTTACACAAAATAAAAGATTAACAGCTTCTATATAAGAAATTCTAAAACTCTGTAAAGAAAAACACTAAGATTCCCACAGATAAACTGGATAGTTAACAAGTGGATAATTCACAAAGGGAATTATTAAGCATTCAAAAAGTAGTTCAATCTCTTTATCAAATAAAGTTTACCAATGAGGACACCTGCAGTGGTTTAAAGTACGCACCCAAATTCTTCCTCACGCTTTCCTTCCGGCCACTGGGGCTCCCACGCCCTCCCCGGGCGCGCAGCCTCAGCGGCCGCACGGGCACCCACACCTAGCAGAGCCGGAGCCTGGCTTGGCGCTCTGCTCCCTGCTGTCCTAATTCACTGAAGTTTTGAACAAAAACCCTGTGTTCTCATTTTGCATGAGCTCCAGCAAACTGCACAGCCAGCCCGGAGTAGGGATTGAGGCTCAGTGACTTCTCAGTGACACACAGAATGTGACAAAAGTGCGACCATTTTATACCACAGAGGCCGTCCAGTCTGCTCCTCGCCCCCCCTCACCGACCCTGCCGTCCACGGGACGCCGCTGCCGTGCCCACGGGACAGTCAGGCATCCATCCGCCGGGGCCCGGCCGAGCCCCCGCAGGCTGCAGTCCTCGGCCACCTCTTGTCTGCAGCCTCAGCAAGACCTCACACCACAGACACACAGCTGAACTGTCCCCCGGCGCCCAACCCCCAGGAACCGGGAGGTTCCAACAGGCGCTGTCCGAGCAGCTAAGTTTGGGGGTGAGCTGCCAAGCAGCACCAGGCAGAGAACAGTATACACCAAGTGCCGGCGAGGTACACGTGGATGGAGTGCCCCCCACAACGGGCAGAAACGCGCCCGGGTGCAAGCTCTCAAGTAAGCGCGTATCCTTTCAACTAAATGCATTAGAACACACTCTGAGGAAATACATTAAATAGAAAAAGCGCAGAGCAGCTGTTTGTTATACAATTATTTAGAGTACCCCAAGTTAGAAACAACGTGAATGCCCTAAAATAGGGAAATAAAACATAAACACATGGACAGTCGTAAAGTCATGAGAAATTAGGTCTGATTATGACATAAGCAGTTTTCCATATTTATGTGTAAAAAACCCATAAAATTATTAGGGACACCCGTGTTCATTTTTTAAATTAAAAGCTACCAGATAATACACCAACATGTTCACTACTTTACCATCCAACTTCTATTATCATCTAAATTTTAATAAGCATGTTTGTTTTTAAAGTGAAAATAAGCAAGGGTTCCATAAATAAGATTATGAAAAAGAACACTGCAATCAAGTAACCCCGCCGCCCCGCGGGCCGGCCGGGAAGCGCGCCGGGGCGCACACTCACCCGAAGGAGAACTTGCGGGCCTCCAGGAAGATCTGGTTGACCAGCTCGCGGGTGGGGGCCACGACCAGGCACTGGGGCTCCTGCCGCTCCCGGAAGCGGCTGGCCGTCACACCCTCGCGGAGCAGGTGCGCCAGGATCGGCAGCAGGAACGCGGCCTGCAAGTCAAAGGGGTCGCTGCCAGCTCGGCGGGCGCCGGCCCTGCCGCCTCGGGCCTCCTGCCCTTCCGCTGGCCAATTCGCAGGGACGATGGCAGTCGGCTTCATTTCAGTGGCGTTTTAACACTTAGGTCTTTATGCCCATATCGGACAATGTGAATGACTGGCGAAGACAACCCACCCTAGCACACACGGCTGGTTCTCCATCAAAAGCACACCCCTGGGCTCACAGATCAGGGCGTGGCAGCTCCCTCACCGGGGAGCACAGACGCGACTGGGTGGGACCCGCTGCGCTCAGCGGCTGGGCCGAGCCTCTGGGGCAGCGCTGCCACTGCCACTCAGAACGCAGGGCGCGGGTGGCCCGCGGGCAGAGCACAGCCCCGGGAGCCACACACCGGGACACGAAACACGCCACCCTCGGGGCGGGGCCAGTGGAAGCGGGGAGAAGGGGACAAATGGTGACGGAGGAGGCTGGACGTGGAGCAGCGAACACACAGTTCCATGTACAGATGCTGTGTTACACAACTGGGCACTTGAAACCTGTGTAATTTTACTAACTAATGTCACCTCAAAAAATGCAACAAAAAGGAAAAAATAAACACACCTCCCTTATGGAAATTACGTCTGGCAAGACATTTTCTTTGCCACAGCATCTCATTAAGCAAATGAGACACTATTTGCCTGGGGCCCGTACATCAGCGGCCCCCCCACCCGCACACACCTCACCACCTTCCCTGCGCTTCTCCCGCGGCGGCGGCGGCGGCGGCGACCGAACCGCGTGCCCCGAGGCGCGGGTCCTGGAAGTGGCGGCCTGAGGCCCGCCTGAGGCCCCTCTGGGGGAGCCCTGCCTCACCGACGGACCCCCCCCCCCCGGGGCGACCCTGGAGCTGGCCCCTCCCATCGAGTCCTCCTGAACCGGCACAGCCTGAGGTCACTTCCCAGGACGCTTGAAGCTGCTGCTCGTTCTTTTGACCCCCAACTGCAGCAGCACCTCACGCAAACTCCTCCCTCTGTGTTTCACAGCCTCCAAGCCTCCGCCTCCATCATTTGTTTTAGACCCTGCCATGGTCCAGCAGGGGTGGGACACACTTGGGAAAATTAAACATCTACGAACTGCAAAATTACTCTAAAAATAGTTTGAAGTTTTTTCTTTAGAAGTACAAAACCCCAAGAACACCAGAAATCAGAAGCAAACACAAATACTGAAGACAGTTCATTGACATCATCTTCAAACCTTCAATCCAACAAAGAGACTCAAGCTACTCGGGAAGAACCAAAGCTGAACCACCGCCCGCCAGCGGAGCGGGACTCACCGTCTTCCCCGAGCCGGTCTGCGCGCACGCCATCAGGTCGCGCCCCGCGAGGATGATGGGGATGCTGTACTTCTGCACCGGTGTGAGCTTCGTGTAGCCGGCCTTGGCGATGTTGTTGTTCAGCGTCTGGCAGAGGTTCGCTTCCTCGAAAGTCTAGAGAGAGGGCGGTCATTCGATTCCACACACAAGGGCAGACCAGACCATAAACAGTGTTCCATCGGAATCACTTCGAAGTTTTTGTTAGTTCCACTTTACTTACCAGTGTTACTTTATTGATACGCCCCACTCAAGGCAGTGACGAAAACCTGTGCGTCACTTGATACAATTAGGGACTAGTTCCTGTGGACAGTGGTTCTAAGGACATTTTTCTTCTCCCTTTAAACATTTCATCAGTAACAAGAGCTCCTGATCAATAGGGACTGCGACCCCCACCAACGCCTTAAAAAAAACCCACGCCTTTAAGGCACTCTTTCTCACATACATGGGAAGCAGAAACCTTGAATCTTTAGAAATACTATCCTTTTTAGTAAATTCAAGTCAAGTCCTCATCCTGGTTTGGAGAAGTGGGGATGAAACACAGTAGCCTCTCTTTCAATGTAGCAGTGAATACTATTGTACACGGAAGACATGGTTCTAAATTTCCAACCCAACACACTAGATAGTCTGATAAAAGGTTTATACTCTTTAATATTAACTTACAGGGATGCACCGTATATTTTAAAACCCAAGTCTGCCACGCAGTCCCAACAGGCATGAGTGTCACACTGACCAAAATCGCCGGGGGCGCGTTGTGCCCAGACACCTCCACCAGGATGCTGTCGTACTTGTCGAAGTTGATGCCCGTCTGGTAGTGCGCGAAGATGGAGCCCTCGTCCTCGGGGGGCGGCGGCGGGATGTAGGTCACTTTTGGTCCTTGGCATTCAAGTAATAAACAGAATCTACATTACAGGACTAGAAGAACCGTTAGAGGAAAACAGACAAAAACTGACCGAGTCAAATTTTAAATACTGTAGAATTCCCCAATATTTACCGTTAAAGTTTTCACTTCAAATTTTGAAAAGTTCTCTGCATTTAAATATTCTGCATGCTCACTGAGCGTCAAAATGCATGGTGTGAGTCACATGGAACTTCACGTACCTAGAGCGTCACCGCCTTCTGCTCCTTCGGCTCCTGGCTTCCAAGAATCTTAAAGGGAATCAAACCCAGAAAGAGAGAGATGGTTTTTAAAAATTGAGGGTAAGAGAACTCTCACTATACAAATCAAATACTTTATCTAAAGTAAGACTTACTCTTTCCAGAGCTTGTTATTACTTCCTCATTTAAGCCTTTGTAACCACCTATTAAAGAAACCCAGAGTGACAATCATGCAAGACACAAGGCCGGGCACGTCTCCATTTGCATTGCTTTTCTTCAAAGAGAACAGGTTCTACAGGCGGACAGATGTCTTTAAAGTCCACCTGCACAAACAACACTTGTGACCGTTAAGAGACGCGGAACCCCGCACACTCTAAGCTTCCCGAGTCCGCAAATGCTGCCACTCCGTTCCGCCTTCGCTAGGTTTTCTTTAAGCCGTTCCTTCTATATCCCAATTGCTATGTCCCTCAGCAAAGATATTCATCTTCTCGAAGGAACCACTCACTCACCACACTGTGGTGTCCCCACAGCCCCCTAGGACTCAGAGTAACGGGTATCCCAGGGAAGGACAGAGAGGACAGTGAGCCAGGCCTGCGCTCCCACGTCCTCGCCACGGCGTCGCACGGAATGCGGGGGAGTGCCCGGCACGGAGCTGGAGACGCCGCTTCCCCAGGGAAGCTCGGCGGGGACCCGGCACCCGGGCCGGCACGAGGGGCGGCGGGGCGGCTGCCCCCTGCCGGGCACTCCCCCTACTTCTGAGCCCAGAGGAGCAGCGGGCGCCCGGCGTAGGCCACACGCACCACTGCCCCCGGCGGGAGAGCCTCCTGGCCCAGCTTCCCAGACGTGGCGGCTGTGCAGGCGGCTGCTCCCCGTGCGCCGGGCCCTCCCGCATCAGGGCATCAGGGCCTCGCCGCAGCGCCGCAGCCGGCCCCCATGCAGCGTGGCCCTGGGCTGCGCCGGGGCCACAGAGCTCACGGGGCCTGAAGTTTCACACGGGGCCTCTGAGCGTCCCATCCACAGAAAGGTCTCGCAGTCCTTTCTCAAACGGCACGGGGCGTCTGCAGAAGATGCGGGTTAACCGGCCATTAACAGCCTCGTTCTGGAGCAGAGAGCCCAAGACTCGGGCGGGTGCTGAGCGCACTCAGGCTGACAGCCACCATCCTGCAAGCTCTGCTCTTTCAAGAGTCGAGGAGGCATTTTAACTTGTACATGGCATCTGAGCAGTTACAACTCCGAGGGTGCTTTTTACAGTGCCAAGCCACACTGAATGTGTCCCTCTATACCAAATCAAACAACTGTACCATAAGGAAAAATATACTATCTTAAATTAAGGATTTGCCCACAGAGATATCTCTCTACCCTCAAACATTTGCACAGCCTCCCATTTTAAGGTCCTAGTATTTATTAAAGGTATTTACTGATACACTTCAGGTGATTTCGTTTGTACATATTATAAGTGACGTGTCAGGGAACCACCGTGCACTGGTATCGGACAAACAAACCCACAGCACGTTGACTCGCCCCGGGGACAGGCTGCGCTAACGTGTGCTCCTCAAAGGACGCAAAAGCAGAACCGGCTGCCTCTACCTCCAGACACAAAACTTGGATTACAGTCCTCGTGACCACTTACAGGGAAGCCAACGGAAAAACCCACCTCGTCCACCTCCGCTTCTGCTTTGAAAAATGTCACCATTGCCTGTAAGACATTGTTTTGCAGAATGTTTAGAGAAAAGACAGTTTCTCCTCAAGCCCATGAACCACATAGCTATTTCTATGCAAATACTGAGTCAGTCAGGATTCCTAGTCCCCTCATCCATCCACCTCTTAAACCTACATGTAATTTAAACCTTTTTCTCATCCGAAAGCTTTGTTTAAAGATTTCATGTTTAGATATGTTTAGAGTAGTTTCAGGGTCACAGCGAAGCTGAGAAGAGGTTTCCCACACACCCGCCGTCCCCACGGCTGTCTCCCCGCATCATCCACACCCCCCGCTGTGGTTCATTCTCACAACTGACGCATCTCCGTCACCACGTCACCCAGAGCCCGAGGGTTACAGGAGGTTCGCTCTTGGCGCGGGACATCCCGAGGGCAGGGACACGCGCGTGCCCACTGCGTGTCACGCCGCCGAGTCCCGCCGCCCTGCCCGCCGATCCCGCCCCGCCGGCCCCGGGAAACCGCGGACCCCTGGGCCCACGGCGCTCCCTTCCCCCCGGTCACGCGCCTGGGGCCAGCTGGCACGCGGCCTTCGCGGGCTGACGGCTTTCGCCCGGCAACGTGCGCCTAAGGCTGCTCCGCGTTCGCTCCCAGCCCGGCAGCTGCTTCCGTTTTGGGGCTGAACCCTAGGCCATGGGCTGGATGCACCGCAGTTTATTGACCCGCATTTGAATGTTTTTCATCAACAATGGTATTCTTATTTCATTTTCTCCTTAAATCCCCTAACTCAGAATTCCTCCTTTGAAACCAATGCAAACTTCATTTCCTTCCTCCAATTAAAAGTACAATTCATATCTCAAATTTCCTGGTAGATAAGAAGAAGAAATAATTCTGTGTACAAAGCTAATAAGGGAGGCAAAATCGTCCATGTATTTTTGCCCACAGATCTAAAAAGCAGAGAAAATTGCGGGCCGAGCTCGCGTCCTTTGCCACATACAGTGGGTTTACTATTTCGAGAGCTAAGAGCCCATGTGAACAACGGCTATTCGGCCATGAAGTCTCTTTCTTACCTGTGCCACTTAACGCTGGTCTCCTAGATCCAAAAAGGCCACCAGTGCGCTGTGTCCCCTCGTCATGATCATATTCACTGCCTAGATTTGTAGAGGATAAAATCAGATTGTCACTTTTAAGAAGTTTTTAAATCATGATTTAAAAAAATCAACTTACAGTGCCAGAAATTAAAAGATGTGGGGTAAAACAGTTTAACAAGAATCAAGTATTTTTCTAAGTACCGCACAAAGGATTTCTCCACAAATTATCTTCTCCAACCTCAAATTACTTCCCCCCAATTTTTATCTTACTGAAAGCACTGTATAGACGTGAGGGCCAAATGCTCTGTGGAAACAGGACACGGCACATGGAGGCGTTACATGGCCCCCGACGCGGTCCCGGGCCTGCCCGGGCCTGCGCGCTGGGGCGGCTTCTCCGGAGCAGCGGCCCTCGCCCGCCCTGGGCCGGACCCGCCGGGTCCGTGTGTTAAAAGGCGGCGATTCTCTGCTCTGCTGTGCGTCTCGTGACTCGTCCTGACCAATTTACGTGTTTAGCTTCCAAAACCACCGATCTGTGCTCCGCTGTCAGGAGGGGCGCACCCTGACGGTGACTTCTGAGGACGCCGCCTCAGCCCCGGGGAGTGGCGGCCGGAGGCGCTTCAGGCAGGAAGCCTTGCCCGGGACAGGCGTGCTGGGAGACAGCGCCACGGAGAAGGCCTCGGGTAACGCCGGCCGCGGGAGCGAGGCTCTACGGCACTTAACAGCGCGCCGCAGCGAGGAGCCGAGTCGCACAGACTTCGCCAGCGTGAGCGGGCGCACTCGGGAAGGTGCGAACGGCACGCGCGGGGCCCCGCCCGGCTGCCCGCGCAGACCCCTCCCGCTTGGGGCCGCACGCGCCCTGCCCCCCACTACTCACTCGGGCTCCCCAGGCCGGCTCCCGCGCGGCAGCCCCGGAGACTCCCTCTTCCGCCTCGCCTGGACGGCCCCGAGGCTTCCGGGTCGCTTCCGTCTTGGTAGGCTAGAGTGGTGCACACACAAGGGCCGCAGGAAGCGGAGACAGTGGGGGACACCGTGGGCTAATGTAACTTAAGCCTCGCATACTTCAATGACTTTACATAAACATTTTAAGGCATTAACACGTAATTACCAAAAAGAAACACCATATTTGACCTATCCATGTTTAGATTTACTAGTATAAATAGATAGGGCTACAGGTTTTTTTTTATACCCACTGCTTGCTTTGGGAATCAAAACTAAAAATGATTAAAAGGAAAAAACTGCCACAAAATATTGAAAGTAGTGAAAGTTGCCACAATTGCATCACGAACAGGACTTCCAGTCCACAGGCGGATTAAGTAAATGTCCGCACAGATTGAACACATGTGTCGCTCCAGGCCACTCGGCGGCGGGCGGGGACGCAGCAAAGTCTCAGCCCCCAGGCACACCACGCGGCGAAGACTCCTGGCGCAGTTCCTAGGGAGGCGGCAGGACCGCCAGCCCCCCCAGAGAACGGCGAACACCGCACTCAAAACACGGGCATGTCAGCACATACAAAGTCTGATGATTTCCTGCTATAAACAACACATTTTCAACTCAACTAAATACCAAAAAAAATCAGTACAAACAGTTCGAGTAAAATGGGACCATGTCTGGGGCAGAACAAGATAAAATCAATACAAAGATGCCAAATTGGCAGAAATCTTTTATTTGAGATCTACTTTGTGAACTTAGGACTATTATACCTAAAAAAACTGATCAATAATAATTCTGCATGTGACATTTCCTGATACTGAATTATACGTATTTTTAAAGCCTATTTATAAAACGGGACAGAACTAGTTCCAAGCAGTTTCCGGGCTCCGCGTCGACCCCCTAAGCCTCGGCCCGCGCCCTCCATCTGCGACACCTGACCAGCACTCACGCCCACTCTGTCCTTCCACATTGTGTATCCGTCTGTGCCTCTCTCTAAGAAACCCTGTCCGAACTTCTCTAAGAAATCTTTTGACCCGTTTGTCTTTAGGCACAAGTTGTGTTCTTGTGTGTACCAATGAAAGAACATACGGAACTCTGTGCGCATTTAGAAAGTCACAGAGCGAGCGCCTCCAGTCCCGCCTCACGACCGCCGCGTCCCCAGCCCGCCCGGCGCGCTCGCGCGCCTGTGGCCGTCCTGCCTCCCTGCTCCGCCCGCCCCGGGCGCGCTGCCCACCGGCACTCGGAGCGGCTTCCCACCTCCCACCCTCACTGCGCGTTTACTGACTAGGTGCTTATCTTCGCTCCAGGCGTTCAGCTTCACTCCCGAGCTCCAGGGAAGGGCTCGCAGAAGGCGCCCTTGCCCAGCCGGGCTGCGGGGCTCTGGGAGCCCACGCTCCACTCCCACCGCCGGCGGCTCCACGGCGTTTGTTTCTTCCATGTCCGTTAGCTTTTGTGCTTCCTCTACCAAGTTCTCTTCCTCCTCCAAGTTGAACACTAATTTCTCTTCTAATGGACGCATTAAAGGGAGTAAAATTTCCTCTAAAAGATAGCTTGTGTTAGCTATATCCCGTAAGGTTTGATATATTCCATTGTTATTGTCATGCAGTTCTAAATACTTCCGTATAAACTGAATAAACTGAGAAATGCAGCTCCCAAACCAGAAGGGTTAGGCTTTTTGATATTGATTTCTGCTATTACTCTTTAACAAGAGGCCGTGGTCTTGATAGAAATTCTGTGGTATTTTGAAACTTTCTTTTGGCCTTAACAGATGGTCAACTCTATGTATTCTTCCATATACTTTCGAGAAAACAGTATATAGTTTATATTTGGGGGGGTATATTATTCCATACAGAGATATTAAATCAAGCCCAGTAACTGGGATTCCATCTTCTATAGTCTTATTCCTCTTCATTCTGTTCAGTCTATCAGTTTTTGAGGAAAAAATAGTTTAAATCTAGAATTAAGGATGTAACTAGGATTTTCAGGTTTTTCTTAACATTTTATTTTTGCTTTATTGAAGCAGCACACTGTTAGAGTCAAACCACACTTGGAACTGTAGTGTCTTCCTAGTGAACATGCCTTTCATCATTAAATAATTTTGTGTCACTAATATGTCTGCCTTAGGGTCTATTTTAACTCCTATTTCTGTATCAGCTTTTTTTGGTTAATTAAGGACATTTATTCTCTTTATTTTCAGTCTCCATTAAAGTACATTTACACATGGTTACTGATGTATATAGATTTTTATTTCGACTCTTGTTTTGTGTTTTTGTCTTACTTTTTCCATGTTTTTGTGATCCTCTCTGTCCTTTTAGATTTCCCCAACTCCTAAATTTTCTTTTATGCTTTTACGGTTACCCTTCTGTTTCACCACAAATATTTGAGGAACATTTAAATTGTTTTCAACCTGCACTGCCTCCCCGGAGCCCTGCCCCCGCCGGACGCCCCCATGAGGGACTTACGTTCTACGCTGTCCCTTTTCTGATCACCCTTCAACTTTACCACGTTGAAGAAATCATTAAATTATTTCAACTCATTCTTCTTGCTCCTGAGCTGGCAAAAAAGAAACCTTAAGTCTTTCCTTTACTAGTATTTCACTTCTTTCGAGTTGGTAAAACCCCTGAAGTAACCGTCATTACTCTCAGCTTGCACCTTCATTACTCACTCAGGGTCCCCAGTATGTTCACCAACGTTAAAAGCTTTACTCCCTGACGAGGCTCACTCATCACTGCTCTCTGCTTCGGCCTCCCTCCTCAGCTCCCTCCTCGGGGCCCGGACACTGCCGGCCTTTCCGCGGTGGCCCAGGGCACTGGGTGTTGTGCCCGCGGGGTGCGCCTGCCCCCGACACAGGCCCACCCCAGGGCCTTCCTCCCCGCCCCCCCGCCGCCTTTTCCATGTGCAAACTTCTGCTCTCAAGCTACTGGTCTGTCACAGGTGGACCTTCCTTCCCTCAAGTTTTAAAGATCTTTCTATCTTTGTAATATTGTAATTTCCACACATGCCCAGGGTGTGAAAGAATGTGTTTGTGTTTAATTTGCTCAAGACTCGCGTGCCTCTTCCAACGGTGTCACCTGTTCTTCTTGGACAGACACCCGCCCCCGCCCCCGCCCCGGCCCCGTTTCCCCTCAGGTGCCCGTCGGCCAAAGCTGGCGGCAGCCCCGTGCTTCCCCGACTGAGAGCTCCCCAGACCTGTCCTTGCAGGCACGGGGTCCCCTCGCCCGCGTCTGCCCTGATGGATCCACCACCACTTGTTTCCGCTCTGTCCTGCCCTGCACGTCCGCCCTGGTGCCCTCGGGTCTGCCCTCCGGGCTGAGCCAGCGGCGGCGTGGCGCCTTGGGGCCTCTGGCGCCTACTGCTCCGTCCCCGCACAGCAGACGCACCCCGGAGCGTGCGGGCCGGCTCCAAGCACGCGAGGGGCCTCACAGCGGAGGTGGGGGCGTGGCAAGGACGGGGGTCTGCAGACTGACGTGCTGCACAGCCTTTTTGTTTGAAGGTGGGGCAGAGATGCCACGTACCCTACAGGCTCTTAAAAATAATTATCTCTGTTAAAGTATATCCAAGGTGAAGTGCGATACAAGTAAAAATACACGAACTAAGCCGATACCTTCAATACATTAATCTTTTTAAATGCTGAAGACAGAAGTCACTAAAAGGTATCATGTTAAACTTTTCTAAAATCACGAACCGCACACACACCAACGTCAGAAGCAGCTCCCCCTGGGAGGGGAGCGGAAGGTGTAGAGGGAGGTCGGGCCCCCCAGGAGCCCTCTAACCCCCCCCCCCCCACGGCTGCGACTCAGGTGGAGCGCGTCCCCGCAGGGCTGGGACGAGCGCCAGGAGAGCGTCTGTGGCGGAGTCGCCTGTGCTCTTCCGAGCTACGGAGACACTGCGGAACCCACCCTCCAGGCGCCGCTTTCCCTGAGACAGCACGGGCACACCTCACAGGCGCCGCGAGCCCTGGCTGGTGCAGCTCAGTGGGCCGGGCGCCAGCCTGCGGAGCCGGGGGTCGCTGGTCCCCTCTGTGCCGGGGCACAGGCCTGGGCTGCGGGCCGGGTCCCCCGTGGGGGGCAAGCAGGGGGGCACCGCACATGGGGTGCTCTCTCCCTCCTTCTCCCTCCTTTCCCCTCTCTCTGAAGAGAGGCAGATAAAACCTTTTTAAAAAAGAACATGAAGGCCCACGAGTCCTCGCGGGAGGTGCGCTCTGCATTTCACGGTGGGGGCATCGGCGCTGCGACGAGGGGCTCCCCCAGTGCCCCGCCCCGGCCCCGCAGGGCCCGTCCTGCAGAGCTGGGGGACGCCCCGTGGCCACAGGGAGCGGAGAGGGGACACTGCCCGAACGTCCGCCCGAGGGCAAACCGCACGACTCATACGCCACAGGGCTCCTCTTCGAAGGCCCCCCGCCCGGGTTTCCCCTTCGTCCGCCTCCTCCAGAATCAGTGTAACCGGGGCGGGGTGGGCCCTGAGTGGGGACCACCGCACGCGGCCCTCACCTCCTCTCCTGGAGAGCCCCCTGCTCCGCGCCGGGCCGCCCTCAGCGTCGCTGCCGGGCTCTGCAAGGGAAATGTCGCAGGTGAGTGGCACCTCAACAGGTAACTTTAAAGACAGGGCATCTAAATATCAGAGCTGTCATCACTACGTCGCACACCTGAAATTAAAGTAAGATTGTATGTCTGCTGTGATTAAAGAATAAGTTATTTTTAAATAATTAAAAAATAAAAACAGCATTGTCACAAGGTAAATTAGTAAGAAAAATATTTTACTAATTACTAATTTATTTCCTGAGACAGCTTAATGTTAAATGGCAAATGTGTAACTGAGAATCCACTCTTGCCAAGTGCTAGGCACAAGCCAAAAATTAAGAATTTCATGCCAACTTGACTACATTATGGTTTCAAAAATATATAAACTAAAAATTGTCTCATACGGCCTTTTTCGGTCAACCTTACTTCTGTAATCTGCCTTCTTAATACACCCGAGACATTCGTGAGGGGTTACATACGTGCCAACTCCCCCACTCATGCCAGTGAGACAGCAGGAGGCGCCACGCTCCGGGCCGGAGGGCAGCAGCAGGCGACCTGCGGGCTCTGCAGGCGGACAGGGCGGCGCGGACGCGGCCTCGTGCTCCCCCGGGGGGGCGCCTGAAGTTAGTCCCCAGGGCCCACCCCTCAAGGAGTTCATTTCAAAAGTACAAAGTGACAGTAAGGAATGAATAAATTCTTAATGTAAAAGGTATGCTAATAATATGTTTTAGTGCTAACTTCAAGCTTTCTAGAATATCCCAGCAAAGCCACGTTTAGGAAACAGTTTCAAGAAATCTTTTTGTATGTCATTACTGTTCAATAACCGAGCACCGAGAACTTAAGTCACAGGGATGACATCAAATAGCAGACGGCTTGGACGCTATCTGTTAAGTTCCTGTGCAGAAGCGCCGAGCTGCCTAATTCTCAACGCTGCCTTTAGAGGACGAACCCAGGGCTCGCGCTGCAGCTGCCGATTCAAACTGAATCTTCCAACTGGCAGCTCTTCCTAAGGAGCCGCTGGATGGCGGCCACCTTCTGGGAGGCAGGATGTTAATACTCCAGGGGTGAGCAGGAAGGAGAATTTTGGAAAGAAGGTTAACCCTGGAATAATGTGATGAAAACTTACACTTACTACCTGATAGAAAAGCCTATCAATTAGCCGGGAGCGTGGCAAGGAGGAAGAGGCCTCATGCGATCTCTGGCCAATCTGCTCCCCTAGAACACACGCACAGCCCCACCCCTGCGGGGGAATGGAAAGGGGCGGCGCTCCCCAGAAGCGAAGGAGGAGCAGGGTGGAGAAAGCCCTCCGTCCCACTTCCCAGCTTCAGCCCAGTCTTAAAGCATTTAAAACGAAGTTGTTTTTTTAAAGAGAATTTCTGTAAAAGTTACAAAATAAAGCCAAGCAGAAACAAAACTTAGGTAGCGATCCCAAGATTAGTTACACTCTGTTAATTACGTAAAAATAACATCAGTAACACAAAGAGAGCTCAGCGTGGCGCCTGGCGCGCTGAGTGCACTCTCTCTCCGAACCCTCACAAACCTATGAGGCGGCTGCCACCCCCGTGGCACGAGGGGGGGGAATGACACACAGGGAAGTCGAGCATGTTTTTAAGATAAAGCAGCCGGCCAGGAGGGGAGGCCCTGGGGGAGGGCCGGGCTCCGAGCCCCCGCTGCTGCCGCTGCCCCGGGGGGTGGAGGGGAGGGGACGGGAGGGGATGGCAGGCAGGAGCACGACCCCCGAGCCACCTGTGCCCAGAGGCACCCCCGCCCCAGCCTTGCCGAGAGTCACTGTGACGTCGAAAGAAGTGAATCCACAGGTGTAACTGTTTGACTCTGGGGGAACTAAGAGCGAGAACAGAGGCAAGCAGGCCACAGGAGAGAACACAGCGCACCGGGAGGAAAGATGCTCGCCCGCGCGCTGGGAGCCGCTGGACCCTGGGCTCCAAAGTGCCCCTGGCTGACAGCCGCCAGCAGGGGGGCCTCTGGTGAGTGGGAATGGTCTTGAACCCCAACTGGTAGAAACAAACAAACAAACATAGGAGAGTAGGTCAATAAAAATAGAAATGGACAAAAATGATGTTTTCTTCGCTCAAAATGAGTTCTGTGCCGCGTACGGGTCCATCTGTGCGGAACGGAGAAAAGGCAGGGAGCAGGGGGACTGAGGCTGGCAGTGGGGGGCGTGTTATTTGATACATTAAAACCCCATCCTACTCCAAAGGATGTAAGATCAAGCCTCAGACATGTCACGGAAAACAAGAGGCTCCGACCGCTGGCCAGGCCTGTGTCTGGGTGAGGGCCCTGCTTTTACACGCGCACTTAGTCCGCGACACCCGCTCAACGGCCTCCGTGCTCCAGCACAGGGACCTGTGGCCCCGGGAAGCTTAGCCCCCCGCTGCAGGCCGCCCCTGGGCAGGCAGCACGGCGGGGACACGGAGGAAGGCCTGGAACTCAGGTGCACGACCCTCCTGAGATTCCTGCCCGCGGTTCCCAGACAAGGGAGGCGGCAGAGCCACCAGGCCCTGGGCCTCCCGCCGACCCGGCCAGGCGTCCCGGGAAGGCGCCCCGTCCCCGAAGGCCGGCCTCTAGACCCCGGACCTGCCTCGGTGCGCGCTCCTCTAGGCCGGGGACAGGACCTCGGACTGGACGCTGCCACCTTCAGCAGTGACCTACATCCTCCTCCTCCTTTTTCAACTGTCAAGACTGAATTTGAATCTGAATAGGGACCTGCAGGTCCCAAACTGTATTTCTGTCTGAAAGTGCAATTTCATTCTTGACTTGCTGTCCCTACTCTCACCTCCTCCTTCAGGTGGCGCAGGGCTCAGAAGGGGCCGGCCCAGGGGCCCGAGGCGCAGGGCCAGCTGCTTCATGAGACTGGGCTTAAACAAACTAGACCTGGGGCAGACTAAAATCCCTAGCCTTAGTTCCACTTTAGCGTGCACTAGACAGGGGAATGAAACTTTAAAAGCCACTCCAGAAACCGCCGCACTCACCTCTCCAGAAACCGCAGCTGTCGCCTTCTTCAAGCCTGTTGTTTGAGAAACCTGTGCAAAACACAGAATTAAATTTGCAAATCTCTGAGAAGGGCAGTCCCGTTACCTCTGCAGTGTAAAAACGACCCTTGCAGGTCTACCTAATGTGCCGCGCCTTTAAAATAGGACACCAGGGGCACCGGTCTGTACCGACGGCGGGCGCACACCCACAGGCCGCGACGGCGTCCCTGCCGCCTGCCGGCGGGCGGGGCTGAGGTGCCAGCTGTCGCCGCAGGGCCGCCATGACGTGCCCTCTACACGCACACGGGCGAGGCAAGGCGTGCGGCGCCACCGTGACGTGCTTTCTAATCCGAGTGCCGCAACTTTTATAATGTGTTAACTCCTCATTTCCTCATCTGCCAGAGGACAGTACAGCTAAATTATAATCCAACATTAGATCATGTTTCCCTTCTCAGTAACAAGAAAATCCTGCCAACTTAATTCTTGTTTGCTTAAAAATTTCTAAGCCCTGGCTAGGTGGCTCAGGTGGCTCGGGTGGCTGGAGCACTGCCCCGAACAGTGGGCTGGGCTCCCAGTCAGGGCACCCACCCAGGCTGCGGGTTCAATCCCCGGCCGGGGCGCGTACGGGAGGCGCAATCAATGCTTCTGCCTCACACTACTGTTTCTACCCCCTACCCCTGTTCTCCTTCTCTCTAAAATCAATTGAAACATAACCTCAGGTGAGGATTAAATAATTTAAATTTTTTTTAACCTTTAACCACGTTCTGTTTTCCACTTTCTCATTTAATAAAAACCTGTGTCTACATTTATCTCTCAAGCATATAGACATGTTTGTAAAATTCAGTTTAAAAGCATCCACCAGTAATATTTTAATAACATTTTTAAATGTTGAGTCTTAATAGAACCTTCAGTGTAAAGATATTCAAGAAATAGTATACTTTAAAATTGTCAAAATGATACCTGTCAATCAGTATTTAATCTAAATTATAAAATATTATAGTTTCTGTAATTCAGAGACTAATCAATTACTGTTTCACAGATGTTAAATGTATTTATATCAAGTCCCTTAACATCTCAGATTCAGCCAGACTCTAAAGGCCCTTCCAGCCTAAGACCCCACGGAAATTCAACGCAGTCACCATGAGGGGTAAGCGCCCCACCCAGCGGGGCCCCCACCCAGCGGGGCCGCCAGGAACCAGGCGCATGGCAGGAGGTGCGCAGCTGGCCTTACCGCCCGGGCCCCACCTCCTGCCCCCGCCACGGGTCCCCTGCCGCCCTCCATGGAGAAAGTGTCTTCCACAAAACTGGGCCCTGGGGCCAAACGGCTGGGGGTGGTTGCCCTACAGCCTTGACACATGACTGGGTGACGAAAATTTTTCCTTGAACAGACACATCCTTTCAAAATAGAGGTAATCCCTTCAGAAAGAATGTATTATCAGAAAACCAGGTTTTCAGTCGCTTTATTCACTTAAACACGAGCAATCTGGACGCTGGTTCAGGACAGGACCGCCTCCTACCGCCCTTCACCAGTCCCCCTCTCCCTGTGTTGTCCCCTCCCCAAGTCACACGCTGGCTGTCCAAGGTGCCTCGGGAAGCCTTCCACCCACACACTACTGGTCTTGAACTTAAACTCTGCTTTTGACCTACAGTTTCTAAAGATTTTCGGGGAAACGTTTAGTTTCAAAGCCCCACCCGGTTCTCTGCTCAGCTGAACACGGAGACTCAGATTCCCCGTGGAGCTGGCACGGGTCTGCCGTCCGGGAGGGGCGGCGCCTTGAGGACAGAGAGGAGAGGACTGTGATCGCCTGCGGGGCAGGCCAGCTTGGAGGGGGCAGCTGCCCAAGGGGCACACCTGTTTACGAGGGCTCCGTGGGCAGCAGTCGGGCCCCCAGTGCCCAGACCCCGCTCTGCCAGCCACCGAGGAAAGCAAGGCGTGCCCGAGCGCTCACACATCCCGGGGGACCGTGTGCACGTTCTAGGCGCGTCACAGGGATGCGGGAACTCAACGGCCAGAGCGGCTGTGGCCACGCGAGCGTTCCCGGCAGGACGCCACGAGCTGGTTACCTCGGCTGCCGAAGCCCTTGCCGACCCCAGAGGCGCCGGCTGCGGAGGGGGGCTCCCTTCTGCTCCACTCGCCAGCATCTGGAAAAGGTCACACGGAGCTGAAGCTCTTCGATGTACAGCGTGAAGGATGTCACAAAAGCCAGGAGTTAAAAGCCTCCCAGTGACTTTCAAGGACAGAGAGAGAGTAGTATAGAAACTTACATAGTTAGTATACCCCACCCATTAAAAAAAAAAAAAGACCTCTGAAATTAGGATACCAAGGTGATAACATGTACCACTGAAATCCAGCTTTAGACTAGATGTCGTTTGACTACTGACCTTTAATCAGAAAACTCAGCTCTGACTTTCTGCAGACTCAACCTCGCCTGCGAGTGGGGCGCACACCCCGCCAGTGCGCAAGCCACCGCTGCCCGCCCTCTCCCGGTGCGAGGTCGTGCCCACCTTTCTCCTTCTGACCTGAGATCGGGACGGACCGCAGGCTAAGGCCCTTCGCAGCCCCTCCCGCCCCAACGGCCCCACGGGGCCTTCCTGGCTCCCCCGAGCCGAGCACCGCCCGTCCCGGCAGGGCGCGCTCCTCCATCTGCACCCCTTCCACGCTGTCCTTCCACGGGGCGTGCCCTGCTTTTCTGGGTCTCAAAATTCTCTCCACGCTCCCCCAGCCTTGTTCAAAGGCCGCCTCTGCTGGGAAGCCTTTCTGAGCCTTTCGTCGTGCGTGACTCCTCCCCACATTCCCAGCGCACTGCCTGGGTCTCCTCTCAGAAACGCTTCTCCCCCGTGCTTCTCTCCCACTGCACTGAGAATGGCGGGCAGAGCCACTATGGCAAGTAGCAGGTTATTTAAGACAAAAATTGGTCACAAGAGACATCCAAACTGGATGAAGTGCCACTTGAAACCATCCCTGGGACGAACTAAAGCCTTGTCCGGTGCCCCTCATAAGCTGTCTGGCTGTCTTGCGCACCCGAGCGCAGGAGCGGAGGGCTCCACGGACTCCTGAAGCCGCCTGCACGCGGCACCCCAGCAGCTCCCAGCACCTTCCCCAGGTCCTGAGGGTGCGCGTGGTGCCAGCGGGTGCGCGTGGTGCGCGTGGTGCGCGTGGTGCAGCGTGGTACGCGTGGTACGCGCGGGGAGAGCCGTTTAGGCCGGGCTTCCCAGAGCGGGACGCTCTCATCAGGGTAACATCAGAAGCAACTGAGAATCAATCTCAAAACCGTTACGAACTAAGCAAGTTCGGAGAAACAATACCAGAGGGCCTGAGACCAGCTAAAGTGTCAGGTGACTCAGAGGGAAAAAGTTACACTCGTGGGCTGTGAATTTCCAGAATTAAATGGAGTATCAAGATAACTTTTTCAAGTATTCACATTCCACAGAGCATTCTCATAAGAAGTTCACTGTGTATTTCAACCTAAAACACATGGAATTAGCAACCTGCAGTAAAATTGGTCTCGGTTACAGTTTTCTCCTTAAAAAAGGCTTCATTCAACAATGTTTACAAGCCTACCTCAAAACTATCACATAATCTAGTCTAAAATGGGATTTTGAAATAGATCTACATATTAAATATTCCCCTTGAGCATCGTGTCACATTATTCCTGACATAACAGCCAGCACAACCCGCACCGGAACCTCTTTTCAGAATCACGTGGCCCAGACCGTCAACACTTCTTACCTGACACGCAGGCTTGAAGAACAAAATATATACGTATATTTAAAGAATAAATTATTTACATTAGTAGCAGGAACATGTCAAAACATAAAATTCACATTTGTGTTAATTCTATCTAAACAAGAAATTAAGTTTTCCAAACATCGAATGAAATACCACACACCCACATCAACCTCTAGTTTCCAATGAATAAAAATAGCTAGAGATATCAATAGTTTTTGAAAGAGTAATATCTAATAAATTCAATAAGTGTCATCTATTTTTACAATTACCAATTAGCTCTAGCTTCTGATATTACACAAAAATAAATGGTCATATGTATTTTTAAATAAGTTTAAATTGAGATTCTAATATTTTATTGCACTGTAAGAAACCATAATATGGAATATTTTCAGCATTTTATGATCAAATCTAAAGAAAGACCACCAGAAGGTATTTTGCTGCGTCATTATCTGTCAGATCAAGTTCTGGTTGTTCTAAAAGTAACAATAAAAAATTCCAAACTTGGAAAAATAACCTCTTAATACAATATCAATGGGATGACAGGAACGCTGCCCATCAGCCCTTCCCTTGAGAAATACAAACCGTGAGGAGGCCCCGCCCATCCCAACTCTGAAGCTTCTCTAACTTTCCCAGGCCAGTTGTTGGAAATCCATAACCGCAAACACATTAAGCAGCAGCTCTGTACAGCAACCGCCTTTACCCAGTCTATCTAGTCAAACTGTTTCTGTTGCACTATTGCTCCCAAAAGCGTGACAGCAAGAACAACGGCATCCCAAAAAGTGATGAGCTCATGACCCCAACAGAGCCTCCTGCACACTGAGCTGCAACAGAGTTGGCTCTGCGCCCACCCCGTCTGCAGCCGAGAAGACGGAGCGGGAGCACCACTCACCTCGGCTTCCCAAACTCCTCCCGGAGGCAAAGCCCCGTCTCATGAGATGCTCTCTCTGCGAAGGTCCGACATCCAAGTCTAAAGCAAACAACATCAAGAAGCAAGTCAGACTCCCAGGCAGTGGGGGGACGGGGGGCGGGGGCGGGCGGGCCACTGCCACACCTTGTCAGGGTGCTGCTCGCCCGCACGGGGGTGTGTGTCTAGCAGTCTGAGAACGCCGGTCGTCAACAGGAACAGGCAGCCCCCAAACGAAAGCGAACGGTGGCTCACTCTCACTCAGAAGTACAGACACTGGGAATCAAAAGGAGGCGACGCCTTTTTCCAGCCACATGACTGTCTGGAACGCAGTTTCAGGTTTGGTGATTCCAAAAACGGTCGAGGGAAACAAAAAATCACAGCACTGGAACTATAAACTGCATCAAATGTGACCCAAATTAAAAAATACGTTTTTAAAAAATATATACTGACACGAATTTCTCCTCTGGATATACATACATGGTAACACAGATACAAGAGATGTTTTCACGAGTACTGTCTGTATTAGCAACAACATAAACGCCCTCGGAGGAGACTCGGAGGACCCCAGCCACGCGCAGCGCACTGCGCACTTTCTCAGGACTGCGTGCTCCCAGCGGCACGGGACCGACCCCCTCAACAGCAGAGAGCACGTTTGTAAAAACCGACCACGCGGGAGGTCACAACACAATTCCAACAAGTTTCACAAATCAGTATGGTCTACTCAAAATTCGTTAATCACAATGAGGTCAAATGAGATGTTATTAAACAAAAAAAAAAAAACTTGGTTAAAATCCTCTTACATTTGGAAATGTATTTTTAAACCACTTCTATATAGCCCAGCCCACAGAAAAAATAGATAATGGAACCTTAAAACTGCTTAGAACTGTATGATAAAAATGTTACTTATCAGTACCTAAATTTTTATACTAAAAATAAGAACTCAAAATTAATGAGCTAAACAGCCATGTCAGCTAGAAAGAACGTTAGGGAAAAGAAAACAAAATCACACAGAATGAGAAAAAAAAAAGAAAAGCAGTAATCAATACAAGAAGAAACAAACATAACATGGCACTTCAACAAAGCCAAAACGAGGTTCTTCAAAGAGGCCAACATGAACCTGCCAGAGGGACAAACGGCTAGAAGACAGGTGCGGGCAGGAGGGGCAGGGAGAGGGGGGAAGAGGAGACACACAAATGAACAGTGTCCGGAATCAAAAGGAAAGGGCAATAACCTCGAAAACAATGGAGGTGCTGTTCAAGGAGCACCAAGTTTCAGTTATGCAAGGTGGCAAGTTCCAGAATATGCAGTTATCTTGGGGCACACCTCCTGGGGATACAGGGAAATCACTGTGTAACTGTCACCACAGCCAAAATCCATGACACAGACAAGGCCGCATGCGGGCAAGGACGCGGGGTGCCGGAAACGGCACTGCTGCGGAGGGTGCGGGACGGCACGGCCCCGTGGCAGACAGCTCGGCTATTCCTTACACACCCAGCAGGTCCTGCCATGCGATCCGGCAACCCTTCTCCTTGGCATTTACCCAAAAGAACTGAAAACTTGTGTCCACAAAAAAACCTGCCCATAAATGTTTATCTCAGGTTTACTCATAATTGGCAAAATTCAGAACCACCAAGACGTCCCTCAGAGCTGACGGAGGACTACGCTGTGGTCGCAGCACGCGAGAGCACGGTGTTCAGCGCAGTGACAGAAAACTTCCCTGACCCGGTGAAGGAGCTGGGCACCCAAGTCCAGGAAGCACAGAGTCCCACACAAGCTGGACCCAAAGAGGCCGACCCCAAAGAGGCCAACCTCAAGACGCATCATAATTAAATTGCCAAAGGTTAAAGATAAAGAGGAACTCTTAAAAGCAGCAAGAGAAAAACAGCTACCTTCAAGGGAGTCCCCCCAAAACTGGCAGCTGATTTCTCAAAAGAAACTTTGTAAGCAAGAAGAGACTGGCCCAGAAATATTCAAAGTGATGAAAAGTGGGGACGTCCAGCCAAGATTACTCTACCCAGCAAAGCTATCTTTTAGGATTAAAGGGCAGAGGAAGAGCTTCCCGGACAAGAAAAAGCTAAAGGAGTTCATCACCACCAGACCAGGATTATATGAAACATTTTGATCTTTCATAAGATCAAAAAATATGAACAATGAAATGGCTACAAATACATATCTATTAACAACTGAATCTAAAAAGCAGAATAAACAAGCAGAACAGAAACAGTCGTAGACACAGAGAACATTCTGGCAGGCGCCAGACAGGAGGCAGGTCGGGGGGAGGGGCAGAGAACAGCGCAGGGATCGAGAAGCGCAAACTGGGAGTTACGGCACAGTCATGGGGGTGTAAGGCACGGACCAGGAAACAGAGCAGCCAAGGGACACACACGCATGCCCGTGGGCAGGAACAACGGCGTGGGGGTGGCCTGAGGAGTGGGGGTGCTGACGGGGGGGGGGGCAGAGGAAGAAAAGCTGGGACAACTGTAACAGCATAATCAATACAGTGCAATCTTTTTAAAAACCAAGGATGAATAATAAAGGAAACATAACCATCACATACTAATCGCACAGCTCAAACGTGAATCACACGCACACTAATGTCTGAGCAAGAAGAGCGCCACCGGAGCGCGGAGGAGACCGTGTGCGTGTGCAGGGCAGGCGAGGGCCTCGGCACGCACGCCCCGCGCAGGAGGCCAGGCGAGGGCAGCGAGGACCAGATGGTCTCCATCGTGAGCTGCCAAGTTTCTATTTGACACGTTAAAACCAGATAACGGGAACTTTTCCAGTGAACTCTGGAAACAATGAGATCCTACCAGCTAGCTCAGAAGGAATTCCATGGCCATCGCTAAGAGAAAGCAGGAGGCAGTGCTGCGGCACCCCGCTTTCATGAAATCAACGACAAAAAGAAAACATCTGAATATAATTTTAAGATCATGAAAAGGGTATAAAAGATAAGAGCAGGGGAGCAAAGGAAGTGCAAGGCAGTATTTACGATGGAAGAAACACGCGCGTGTTGACAACGCCGGCAGGACGCGATTCTGCACGGGAGAACGCGTGCCGCGACCTGGGAGTCGCAGTCGGCAGATTGTCCAGAGTGGCAAACCCTGGGGCCAAGGCTTCGGAGGACAGGATTTCTTTTCACTGCTGTTTTTTTAAGTTTTGGGATTTTTTGGGTTTTGGGGGGGTTTGCAACAGATCGCCTCTACCCGCTTGTCTTTGGAATATTCCAAGCACACATGCATGCACCCAGTTCACGTGGTGGAAGCAGAGTCCGCCTTTGGCTGTTGGCAGCAGGCAGCGAGTTCGGGAATGGTTCATGCTAAACCACGGCATCGAATGCTGATGAAGGACAAGTGCAGCCCGACAACACGAAGGCACGTCTGCTCCACCGAACCCCTCCCTGGAGGATCGCTCTGACCTGATGGACCAGCTCCCCCTCTCCGAACCCCCTCTCCGCAGGCTCCCCGACATGGGACGGGCTGCCCGGCCCGGCCGCCGCCTCTGACGAGGGAACTGCCGGACCCCCTCCCTTGCACTGGTCACTCAGGCTCCCAGGAGGCAGCCTGGTGGCCTCCCCGGCGGGGGTGGGGCGGGAGTTTGTGTGTAGCAGGTGGGAAGCAGTGTCAGCCTGGGGAGATAAGGCGGCTCCAGAGGTGGGAGGCGGTGGCGGCCACAGGGCGGCATGAGTGTGTGCCCTCCGCCCCGGCCGGGAAGCTGAGAACGTGGACGGCTGACCCCAGACGCTGCTCTGCGCTGTTTTATGTGAGGGCCCCGCACACCCACAGACTCAGACTGTGCAGGGTTGGTGCCCCCAACTCCCGCCTTGTTTAAGGGTCAGCTGTACTTAATGCCACTGGCCTACACTCAAAAAAATGGTTAAGATGGTCAACTCTATGTGAGAATTTTTAATGCGGTAGAAGTAGCACCTCAGCCTGCTTTGGAGGCCAACGGCAGGGAGCACTGTCAAGCGGAGCCCTGACACGACCACCTGCGTGCCATCCACGTCGATGCCGTGAACACGCGGGCCAGCCAGGGGCGGCGGGGGGGGGGGGGCGGGTGCAGGCGGTGGGGCGGGACCGCAGCTGCCTTTCCTGACGTGCCTCTCGCTCTCCTGGGGCCTCTCCTACATTCGGTTCCGAGTGACAGAGACATGCTGGTGTCTGGAGGAGCTGCAGGTGTGGTTCAGACGGGGCTGTCCTGACAGGTCACCGCCCCACCCCCACGTCAGGCCCTGGCAAGGCCCTGGCGGCGGGCACGCCGAGCACGCGGCGTCCAGCCTGGACAAAGGCCCGCGGCCGCCCCAGACCCACACAGAGCCGCCTAACGCACGGGGCACTCCCCTCCCCCTTCTCTAACGGGAGCGGCCTCACCACAAAGTCCCCGAGGAAGGCACGTCCTCACTAGGACATTTTAAAGACACCGCTACTGGGTGCCTACGAGGCAGCTCCCCGTCACTGGAAGGAGGTGCCACCTCCCGCCGGAACACCCACCTGATGGCGACACCGGGCTCCTGTGGAAAGTGTCTCCGTTTGCTCCAGAAGAACACCTGTCCTGTGGGGAGGAAGAAGAGACGAGTTTTCTACTTGGGATAAGAACGTGCTATCTATTTCACAAATACTAGAACATTTTAACCAGTGGGCTTGTTCAAAACAAAACGACGCTAGACTGTAGGATTTCCAGGGTCACTGGGTGTTCCTTCATCAATCTCCGCAAAATCTCCACACTACCTCTGGACGCGCAGCATATTAACACATCCCTGAGCGCGGTGGTTGGCACACGGCAGCCATGGGCCGCGACTGGTGGGCCGCTGTTTCCAGACGTGAAGCCGGGCAGGGTCGACCTGGGCGTGTCCGCTGCTGCTGCTTAGGCTCTAGTCACAAAGCCGTGACTCGGGCAGGACGGCCTGCAAGGCCCATGCAGTACCTACTGTCCAGCTTTTTACGGAAGGAGTTTGCTGACAACTGACATGAGAGCTCAGCCACCCGGGCATTTGAACAGTACAATCAAACCCTAGGATACAAGTGACAGCTGACCGAGGTACCCATGACCCAGCGAAGCCTGCCGAAGTGCGGCACCGCCCCCCCCTCGGGGACTAAAGCTCTCTACTTGTGAAATTTCCGCTGTTCCTATAAAGTGAAACAAACGACTGTTTGCAGCCCGTGAAAAGGAATCCACTCCCAAGGAAATGCTGCTCTGCCTCCCAGGGGACCCTGCTCACGAACCAGCCCTTGGCTTCCTCTCGCAGCAACTTCCCGAGCGGCGCCTCGGCCGCCCGCACCAGCTGCAAGGGCACCACGGCAGGGTACCTCAAGTGACGCTTACTTTCTAAAATGTCTTTTTCACAAGGGACACAAAATGGCTTTCGTGAAGCTTGAGCATCTCACAATCATTTCCGTAAGAACAGAAAAGCTTAGCGCCTTGGATACGCGTGGGCTTTGGGGACAGCAGAAAGTTGCAACTGCTTACGTCACAGACATGGAAACCGACCAGCGATCCGCTTTTCCATTCTCAGAAATGAAGCCCAAAGACGCTGGTTCCTTCTTTAGTGTCCAGAGTGTTACTGGGTGGAGAGAGCACCAAAAGGGCTGGTTTACAGGTGGTGCAGAGCGGGCAAAAGGCAGTGACAGGCTCCGGCACTGAGGGACTGGGGGTGCGTTATTAGATGGCCTTCAGGCTGCGGAATTTACTATCCCACACACACGGAGCTGACCAACGTGGAGGCAGCTTTTGAAGCAAGGCATCAGAAAGTTCTCCACTGTAATCAGCTCATCAAAAATTCTTAACCCCTTTCATTACCTTAAAAAGCACTAATGTCCCACTCCCCGACCCGGCCAGCTACTGCCCCTCTGCTCCAGCCGCCTAGAGCAACCCTCGTCTCCAAGCCCCCAAGCCCAGCCTCCCTCCGCCCTGCACACGGGATGCCGACAGCAAGGAGGCGGTGACGCAGGGGGCCACTGCACGGTGCCTCAGCCTCTGCGCAGTGCTGTCCCCTCGGCCTCGCCTGGCCACCCAGCGTTCCCCTCCGGAACTGCACCCAAGCTCCTGCCTTTAAACCCCACCAACACACGGGAAGCTCCGAGGTCTACCCACAGCCGACCCTCCCCTAAGCAACACCCCGCGGAGTCTGCCGCCCACGTCCCCGCTGACGGGCTGTCGCGGGCACCTTGCACTGCGCGCCTCACGGGCAGAGGGTCCTCCCGCACACCCCCCGTCCTTTCCCATGAGGTTGTACCCTGGACCGCACCACCCCCGCGGGCCGCGCAAACTCAGAAGCCAGGCCGGCCCGCCGCACCCTCCTCCCGCCACTCCCGCACGAGCTGCCGCTCAGCTCCGGCCCGCAGCGCCCTGGCGCGCGCCCTCCCCCTAACCCTAATCCTGACCGCCTGGCCCCCGGGCGTGCGCAAGGCCCACGGGAGGAGGAGGTTGAGGAAGGCCCGGCGAGGCCAGCCCTCGCCCGGCGCCTCGCATGCAGAGGGAGCTCGCACACATGGCTGGGGATCGCGGGTTTCCTGGGCGGGCTTCGCCTGCGGCCTGACGAGAGCGGGCAGGGCGCACAGAGGACACAGAGGGGCCGCAGGGAGATGGCACCCCGGGCGGGCGGCCCCCGAGCTGCAGGGACGCGGCTTCTCGCGGGGCCTCCACGAGGCGCGCGGCCCTGCAGACTCGGAGGGAATCCCGCGCTGCCGCTACACAGCCGCTTCGCGGACCTTTGTCAGAGCAGCTCTGGGGCCCGAGCTCCATGCCCAGTTGTCCAGGGAGGCTTCGCCTCTCCGCCTGATCGTGACCCACCCGCCCCTGTCCGTCCGTCCGTCCATGCCTCCCGCGCGCGCGCTTTCCTCAATGTTTTCCGCTTCTGTTCACAATGATTGGGCTCTGGAACGCGCCGTCCACCTCCGCCTGGGAGACGAGGCCCCGCCCCACCGCACCGGCCCCGCCTCCCAGCCCAGCCACACCCGCTGCGGGGCGCGCCGGCCTTCCCCTCTAACTTCCACACACATCACTGCAAACCCGTTACAGCCTTTTAAATCAGCCAAAGGAACTGACTTAGAAGTTTCAAAACATTGACACTAAGAGCATACACAACTACCAATATTCCTCACATGCAGCTGCGAATCCTCTGTTTGCATTACCAGACACAAACCTCTTTGCCCTCGAAAGTACTCTCATTTTCCATTATGGAGTATCATAACTTGTTAAAGCTTTTGTCTTTTCCAAGCAAATGGGTGCTTCTAGTCACATGCTGAGTTGTTTTTCCTTTTCAGCATGGCAGGTCTGCTACTCAGTCAATTCCGGGCTGGACAACTTGCGAACCTGGAAGACACCCTCTCCCCGGCCAGTTGAGGGGCCAATGCAGGCAGCTCCACGTTTTCCGTCCCAGCCCCTTAAGAGCCTTTGCAAAAACCACTTGCATTGTAGGCCCAGAAGCCCCTGACAAGACCGGAGCATCGCGTCACCGTGTACCGAACACCAGGACCTCAGCGCCTGCTCTAGGCCCCGCAGCAAGTAGAGCAGAGGCAGGCTGTCCCGATCGCCTGGACAGACAGGTCGCATCCGACACAGTGCCACACACATTCAAATCCTGGACAAAACGCTGAACACATCTCCCCTCCTCTGGGCTCACACAAGCTAAAGTCCCCAAATGCAGGCAAGGCCGCCCCCCACCCCTTCTGACTCGGGTGTCCAGGCTGGACCAGCCCTGCCACACCCGCCTGAAGTCTGCCCCCTCCCGCGGCCGCTGGGGGGACCGGCGCGGCACCGCAGCACCGGCAGAGCTGGGCCCGGCGACTCTGAGCCCCAGCTGCCCCTCGCAGACCCCAGGTTCCAGGAGTGGTCGGGTCACAGAGGAGAGAGCAAAGCATCTCAAAATGTAGGGATAACCACCAGAGCCCAGAAATAAATGTGATCGTTGCAAGAATGTGTAATCCAGGCCCTAATTTCTATGTGAAAGCATTCTCCAAAAAAAAGCTATTTCCCCAAACAAAAATGTTTAGCAACCAAAACTCATGCGGAGGTCCCCGACCACAGGCTGCAGCAGAGGCCACCGTAAGTGAGGCCAGAGAACAGGCGGGGAAGGAGAGGCAGAGCCAGAGGCTCGGGCTCCAGCAACTCCCAGAGGTCGGCCGGTCCCCGTCCCTTGAGCAGATCCCATTGTCTGTTTCCTGCCCATCCTGCCCAGCATCTGCCAAAAGCGTTCACTTTTCACCCTCTCCAGACCAGCTCCACGCGCAGCTCCACCCGCGTCTCTTTAGCCTCCTCCCCGGCCTCCTCCCACCTCGTGGCTGCTCTGCCCGTGGCCCCGTCCCCTAGGGCTCGTGGAGGAGCACGCTGTCCGTCTCCCACAGCGCGCCCGGCTCAGCACGTGTGATTCCCCGTGCCCTCCATTGCAAGAGACCCTATCCTCCCATGTCTCGCTGAGGGCCAGACTCAGAAGTTGCCGGAAATCCTCCTCAGGCTCCAGCACTTCACTCCCTTGGGTCTGCCAACTCAGTGACGTCCAAGGACCACATTCTTCTCTGCTACTTCAGAACCATGGTGTGGATGTGAACAGAGCAGATGCAAACTTGACTTTCTTATCTAAGCAATTACTACAGACTTTGCACTCCTGCTTTTAAAAATCGTAATTGTGGACGGACTAATTCAAGCTGTCTCCACTTTCGTCACAAGAGCACATGCCTTCTGAAACGTGCCACAGAGGCGGCCCGAGATCAGAGAGCAGTGGCCTCTGGGGGTTCCCCAAACGAGAAGCGCTACAGCCAGGAAGCAGACCCAGGCCCAGACCCGGCTCCGCTCGCCACACCCGTCCACTGCGGCACTCACCCCACAAACTCGCATGCGCCCCGCAAATGCCTAGGCGCCGAGCCTACTGGACTGCACACTTGTTAGGTTATCAAGTGTGCCTCCACCCCCATGTCTTCCACTGTCCCATCCTGCGGTGGCATGCTCACTTCAAAACTGAGAACCAGGACATGCTAAGAGCTCCCAGAAGAACAGTGTCCAATTATTCAAAATTACAGGTACACGTGTCAACATTAAATCTCCCAGTAGAATCCTGAGAAGCCTTCAGAAAAGGCCAATCACAGAGATGAAGGTGAGCCTAGTCCAAGATGGCTGCAGAATCACTATAAATTTAACAAAAGGGAAACGCAGCTGAGTCTACAAGTGGAAACTCAGCCAGAAAAAGCAATAAAAACTACATCTCTGAAAGAAACGAGGCTGCAGAAAATACCTCAGATTCCTCCAACATAAAAACGTCATTTAGAAAAGTCACAGGTTCAGCCTTAGTTGTTGTGCTTTTCAATCCAACCATGGCAGGCAAAAAAGCTGTTAATTGCACCATGTTCTTTCAAGTCAAATAGGCCAAACAACTACTGCAAAACCCAGCACCAGGTGTTAAGTCTGCAAACGGAAAAACTTTACTGCAAACTGGACCCACACAAATATATATAATCATAGATAGATTTGTTAACAGAAATTATATACAAGTGAGTATTCCCAACACCCTGAAAAGAGGTAGGTTACTGAATAGCACAAAAATTCTGAAAAAGCACATCTGAAAGATCTGAGTCAGCCATACTTAATTTCAAACACCTTATGCAATGAACACGCTCACTGAGCCACAGCGCAGTGTACTGTTTGAAGGACACTCGATGAAGACAAAACCTTAGACAAAGAAACTAAAAATTAGGCTACTAAAGCCCGCCGGAGAAAGTGCATCTGCGGATTAAACTGTGTATTTTAACAACCCTATTGAGAATCAGGGGAAAAAAGAACCATAAAATATCCTTTGACCAAGTAATTCCTTTAAAAAAAAAAAGCTCCCCAATTAAAACAAATAAGCTGTAGATATTTGTGACACTATTACAGTAATAAGCTAACAACATTTAAATTCACACCAACAGCAAATCAATTATATCATGGCACAGTCTTTCCAGGAAATATTATGTAACCACAAGAAATTATTTTTACGACATCAATAATATGGAACGGTGAAAAATGAAAAAGCTGGAACCAAACATTACAATTGTAATTTTACTAACATTACAACGGATATAAAAATATGTTTAGGAAAAAACAAAAGAAAATTCACTAAAACTTAGCAGGAGCTCATCCAAAGCCTTCCCGCCACGCAATTTTCCACTTTGATCAAATCCGTAGAATTTACGAATGAATGTAAGCTGTAAATTTCACTACCTTCTCAAATACAGGAACATAGGAAGACAGATGGGGCGCGATGATTTCCGCTTCCCAGTCTTCGTCTCCCATGGTGGATCTCGGCTCTGTTTTTGCGAAAACACAAACATACTGGGCCTCAATTACATCGGACCCGTGTCTCCAGGGGCACCCACGATCATCGCCTCTCAGACACCTGAAACCTCTCAGCTAGGGGCGGGGACTCACCTTCCCGCCCATGTTTTCGGAAAAAGGGGACTAAGTTTTGCTCCTTACGTGGAGGTGGCATTTATAGCCATCCTTTTCGTCTTGGAGAGTTGGTTCGACCACTTACGTAAGGACCCGGGCAACCCCGGTGACGCTCCGGAAGCTCAGGCTGTGCCCCAAAGGCCGGTCACCCGCTTTCCTGCCTCCTGCGAAGGGGCCCCAAGCAACGGAGAGGTGACGTTTTCAGGACCCTCCAAAGGCAGATTAGGTGATGAGCTTGGGGTTTTGACAAGTCTCCCGAAGGAGGGGGCCAGAGACCAACGAACGGCTCGGACTTGGCCGGCAAGTGGAGGAGGGTCCCCAGAGCACGCCAAGGCCCCAACAGAGGTCAAAGGGTCCCGAAGCGGCGTCTATGCTGGCCGCCCCGCTCCTGGCCGCCCTCCGACCGGACTCGCCCCGCGGCCGCGGGCACCCTGAGCGGGAGGCGCGGCCCGCAGGCGTCCACCCGCCATCCCACCCGCCCGCGCCCCCGGCCACCACCGCCACTCACCCCTCGCTGCCCGCCCGCCAGCCACGCAGGTCTTCGCAGGCGACTCCTAAACGGCCGCACGTGCAGGACGCCGCGCTTGCGTCAGCTGCGTGCTGTAGCCACAAATGGCACCTGGAGCCGCGCGCCGCCAGCCAATCAGCGCCCAGATGGCGCGAGGCCGCGCCCAGCTATCCCGCCCACTGCCCTGTCGCGTCCCCGCCCACCACGGGTGGGCCAGCCCTCGACGCCGTGGCCCGTTGGGCCTAAGGGGCAGAGCGGGCAGCGGCCACTTGTCCGTCCAGTCTCAAGGAAGGGGTCCCTCGGTGGGCACAGCCCCTGGACTCCCCTGCGCGAGCACCGCCAGACACACACACCCCCTTTCCTACCGCCGAACGCCACAGGGGACAAGGCTGTGCTCACTCCTTCCTGGTGCGTGCCACGCACATCCCCTGTCCCCGCCCCGCCCGCCGCAGCTCGGCAGTTGGGCCCTCAGGCGGTGTCGGAGGCTCCCGCTCCACGGCCCGGACCCCCGGGCTGGGGGCGGGGTGACACTACCGCCCCCCCACCGCTGTCCCGGAGGCTGCGCCTTACCGAGCTGCGGCCCGCGTCTTGGCCAAGGAGTTGCCGTGAGCCCCAGAGGAAGTTGTGGGGTGAGGGTAGTTCATCCGGGCTCGGACGTGTGACCCCCGACCCCAGGGGCACAGGTCGAACCAGACCGGCCCGGGTCCCTGCGGAGCCTCGGCGCCCTTCGCTCAAGCCGTGTGTAGGTGCCGCCCAGAGGCCGTGGCCGTCGTTCCAGGCAGGGCGGTGCTGGGGACACTCGCCGGAGCCGAGCCGGGGTTCGCGCCCCAGCGGGCTTCGCGGGCCCGGAGCCTCTGGGGCTCCTCCAGCGGTGGCTCAGGCGACGGTTACCAAAGGGGGTGCGCCCACCGCTGATTTTAGGCAATCCGTGGGCAGTTTTCATTTTGAGAGTTATTTCAGTGTTCGCACGTGGTATTTAACGTGTGTGAGAAAACCATAACCCACAAAACCTGTGGTTTCAGAAAATCATTGCTCCTTATGAAGCTAAAATAAATATTTAAAGTTTTAAAATTAATTAAATAAAAACCATGTATTCATCGTATGCTGGAATGGCCAAAGCCGTGAAGGCGGTGTTGAAAAGACCGCAGTGTGGCCGCCGTGGGTGCGGACGGGAAGGGCTCGGGGCCTGGGGACGGTCACTGGAGCTTTTCTCTGCTGTCAGGGGAAGCGTCCCATCCGCACCTGTTCCCATTCCACGCTCACGTAGCACCTTCCTGATCAGCCCTTCTCAACACCCCCAGGGATTTCGATGATGAGAAAGGGGGTCCAGTGCATAAGATTCATTTGTCCCCCACTGTGATTTGAGACATTGAGGTTCTCGGTTAGAAATCGGTCTTGTTGGAATTTAACTGGCCTTCCTAGAGATCTTGCTTGCTGTCAGCCGGACCTCCTAAATGACATCCATTCCCTGGTTCCTGAGCACTCCCACAGGTCTATTTATGTAAGAGCTCAAAACGAGTGCAGAGCAAAAAGTCAAACACCGGGGTAGGGTTTCTTGGACAACCATTTCCTGACTCGGGAATTCCTGGTCCTTTGCAGCATAAGTGTTTCATCAGTGAATTGTGGCACTTATTGAACTAGGAAAGCATAGTATAGCAAGGTCTAGCCCATTCCCTTCGCTCTAAGTGTTAGCCATTCCTAGGAAAGACGCTGGTTCTTCTGTGTTCCAAATGGCAAAGGAAGAGGGATTTGTGAACGTCATCGCTGTCACTCAAGGTATCAAAGAGGGGCTCATTCACCCGGGGAAGGAGGGACCAGGCCCTGTCAGTAAACAGCGATGACTCTCTTCTTGTCTACTGCTCTGAAGACGGCAGAGTCCGAGCTTCCAAGCAGGGCTGGAGGAAGCAATCACCAACCACTGGCTGGAAAGCCGGCGTTGGTAGTCTCTGGTTGTCCGTTTACTGACCACATGAACTTGGGCTAGTTATTCAATGTCTCTCTTTGTAGAACGGGGACAGCGAAGGCCACCAGATGCAGTCCTGGGTGGAAGACCCTGCCCCAAACCAAAAGGCAAGAAGGCAGCAATACATCCACCCATGGAGTGGCAGGGTAAAAAATTGTCCCCTTCCTCGAGGTTGTCTGACGGATTGAAGGGCTAAATTGACATAAGACAGGAGGGAAGTTTAATTTTGCACATGCAGGAGCCTTATAAAAGTATGAGCCTTAAAAAGTGACCCAAGCAGTAAGCTTTTAAATCATTTACATAGAAAAACAATACATTCATGAAGAATGGACAAAACAAAGCGGTTTGGTCTTGGGCTGATAACGTTGGTGAAGAAGTAGCAATGGTTGTTGATACAGCCTCTGGGCCCTAACTTCCCTGTGGTGTGATAAGGACGCCTTCTGCCCTCTTGGTATGGGGGACGGGGTGGGGGATCCCGGGGGGGGGATTTATCTCATGATTTCCAGGGGACAGAGGAGGGTTGTAGTGCCCTTGCTCTGGCTGTTTCTCAAGCACCTTTAATTCAAAACAATATTCTCGAGTGGCATGTTTTGGGGTGGCCCGTTCTACTCCCCTTTGGCATGCTGTGCAGCTGTGCGAAGACATGAGGATTAGCTCCTGTGCTGGTTTGGGGTGAGCACTGGGAAATATTACCGGGACAGAGCCAGGTACAGAGTAGCATGTCCGGTGTGCTCGCTTACGTTTACTTATTTTATATATATATTTAAAGATTTTATTTGTTTTGTTAGAGAAGGGAAGGGAGGTAGAGAGGGAAACATCCATGTGTGGTCGCCTCTCATCCGCCCTCTACTGGGGACCTGGCCCACAACCCAGGCCTGTGCCTGATTGGGCATCGAACCGTTGACCCTTTTGTTCACAGACCAGTGCTCCATCCACTGAGCCACACCAGCCAGGGCTACTTATTATATTTTTAAAAAATAGAAGGATAAACCAAAAATGTATAAAATGCTACTATAAGAAAGGAAAGAGGGGACAGGCTGAGACGAGGGAGACCTCTCTGAGTGGATTCGATTGTGACACCATGGGACTGTTGTGCCTCGTCACAAAACAAAGTGCCATCAAAATCTGCCGAGCAATCTTAAAACTCAAAGCAAAAAAGAAAGAAGTACACGCAAATATGTACGAAGTTAATGGATTAACCACACGGAGAACAGTTATTTCAAGTGATTTAAAATGCAGTAATTTGACCATATGTTCCTAGTGGGATATATCATCATGCAAAAGGAACTACAAAAAATAATCATATTGTTAGTAATAAAATAGTATACTGTGAAGTTACTGTTTTTGTGAGAGAGAAGAAATTGAAATAGAAAATCAAAGAGGTCAAGAAATAACTCTATATCCCTACATTTGAATTGGAAATATCAGTATGAACTCATATGTCCTTTTTAAAGAAAAAAGGATGTCCCAACTGTGCCCACTGAAGAAAGCCTAGAAACAATGACCCACCCGTTAGCAGTGGGCAGGCTGGCACACAGACCGGGGCCTCTGAACACCATCTCCCAGCATCCTTTGGGGGATAAACAGATACCGTGTCGGCTGGGGCTGGAAATATACAGGACCAGCCTGAAACAACAGCTCACACAGGAAAAGCAGGAAAGCTTTCAAAATTCACCAAAACCCTGAGGAACCAACTGAAACGGGCGCCCCCTAGCCAATCTGGGACAATTTAAACATCGCAGTAAAAGATGAGAGTAACACCGTATAAGGCATTAAATAAAATAAAAACCCTTGTGACAGCGGGGAACTGTCACCCGCCGCGCCACTCTTTGACACCGCGTCTCTGAGTGCGGACTCGGACTGATGTGTAGCTTGTAGATGAACAGCCTGTTTTATAAGAACCCTAGGACCTGCCTTCAGAAGAAACAGACCCCGACCTTCGGCATCCCAGCTCCGGAGGATTTGCTGGCCTTCAACCATGAAGCCAGGATGACATGGAGCCAGAGGACATGACTCCGGACGTGACTAAACCAGGACGACACACACGAGACGGTCACTTGCCTTATCCGAATGGACTGTGCTCATCTGCACATAGAGAACTTTTTTTTAATTATACTGATTATGCTATTACAGTTGTCCCGATTTTTCCCCCTTCCCTCCCCGTCCCACACTCCCTCAGGCAGTCCCCCCACCATTGTTCGTGTCCATGAGGCACGTGTATAAGTTCTGTGGCTACTCCGTTTCCTCTACTGTATTTTACATCCCTGTGGCTATTCTGTAACCACTTATTTGCACGTCTTAATCCCCTCGCCCCCTCCCCCATCCCCCACACCCCCTCCCATCTGGAGATCCTCAAAACCTTCTCTGCATCCA